ACGACAGATTAGAGACGATTCTGAAGCCCATCAACAAACAGCTTGACAAGAGAAGGTCATTGAGGCAATATGAGCATGCGCTGAACATCAGGAAAAACTACTTCAAATCTCAAAGATAAAACAAGACGACACTTGATCACAAAGGGGGAGATTGTTGAAGAATATTTGGTTGTGTATCAAGTTTGTCATACGTCTTGTAACAGCTTAGCCTTTATTATACCTTGTGCATTTATACTTTGTATTTATTAGGGTATAAAGGATATGGGACCAAAGTGTCAGGCCCATACACCTGGCTTGAAGCCTTTACGCAAATCTGCCTGCGCATATAAAAAGGCGCTTAAGGCTTAGGTTTGCGTTAACTTTTTCATTCGATCTACTAGCCTTAGCGCTCATCATTCTTGCTGTAAAGGTTCATGATATATCAAAGAAGGGTTTAAAGGATCTTCAGAGTATTCAGCTTTATGTTATTCTCATCTTTGTTATATCGATATATTGTTGTAATCTATAAACAGGGACAAACAGTTGTTGAGACCGGACAACATAAAATTACTTAAAACAAAATAAAAATTGTTCAATCCAATAAATCTCTTAAACAAAATCATATATAAGTGCATGTACACAGAAAAGTGGTAAAACACACATATTGTGTAAGTTACAAAAAATGAAGAAATGAGATATAAGACCTGAAATCTGAATCAGACTTTGTCGTAGCAGTTCTCCCAAACCTATTGGACAAATATTTGATGACGAGCGATAATCAGCATGCCGACTGAGTGTGGCATGTGTGAGAGTAGTCGCAAGGGAATAAGACAGTGTAGCTTTGTGTGAGAGTAATCCATCGGATTACCAATTCTGACGGAGGGTAAATGATAAAGACGCAGGGTAAAGGAGCCTTATATAAGGCGGTTTAGGTTTGGGATGTTGGGCACAAATCTATTTTCGACGTTGGGCTGGTATTGAGTAAATGGGCCGTAAATAATGGGATGATCTCATAATTGGTTGGGTATATTTATTGTTGGGCTCGGTTAAGTTATACAGAGTATTATTATTACAATATTATCATTTGTATTATAATATTTTTTATATTTTTTATAAATATTAGTATTATATTTTTTTACAATATTATAATTTGTATTATTGTCATTCTTTTTGACAGTATTGTATTATTACAATTATTATAATTATAATTATATTCTACTAATCACGGAGTATAAAACATAAATATGAAATATATTCTCTCTTTTTCTCATACAAAGTTTAAATAAGGTTATGGTAACCATCATACTAATATTTGTAGTATATACTACCTATTGTATTAATATTTTAATTTTTTTGGAATTGTTTATTTGTAAATCTCAATTTAGATATTATTAATAGTAATACTGATAATATTAGTAATATAATTAAAATTACTATAATCATTACCATTATTCAGCTTCACTATCATTATATTCTAATTTAAAAATTACATATACTAAAATGTAAATTTCAACTAATGTTCATTAACGTATCAAAACTGGGATCCATACTACCAGTGTTGTTTACAAGGAAGTTTTTCGAAATGTGTAAATTCCAGAAATCTTATTGTAATATATGTTTATTTGTCTATCATAAACAATATATTATATATTAGACTTCAGAACTGGAGAACCCTAGGCGAGCTCTGGCAACGTAACTTCATGGTAGCGGCTACAGCTTGGGCTGCTCCGGCCGGCCGGCCAGGGGCAGCGACACGTTCCTTTGCTGAGGTATTAGTGGCCAACAAAGAGATTCCATTGAAGGAACCCAATGTGGAATCTCCCATTGTGCCAGTGTGGGTTACGTTTGAGGGGCTGCCCCTACATTTGCAGGACAAGAGAGATCTTATTTCAATAGCTGGCGTGATTGGCAAACCTCTTAAGGTGGATGCGGCAACGGAAAACTTGTCGAGGCCGTCAACCGCAAAGGTGTGTGTGGAATTGGATATATTGCAAGACATCCCAACGAAGGTTCTTATTTTGAATGGTAAGAAGGAGATTATTCAGCCTGTGACATATGAAGATTTGCCTACGTATTGTACTAAATGCAATAGGGTGGGACATGTTAAGGAGGAATGTGGGAAGCCTAAATCAAGGGTGGCAGAGGCATCCATGCTTGCAGAACATAAACTGCTCTTGGCTAAGGCTACCCAACCAAAAGCGTCGGACGAATGGGTTCAAGTCACAAGGAAGAATAAAGGAAAGGGTAAGATGTAGGTGGATAAGGAGAAACCAGAATCATCTAAGAGACGTGAGATAGGAACAACTATTATTATTCGGGATGGAGATGCTACTGAAAAGAATATAGGTCTTGTTCCTGGAGGGGAAAGCCAGGTCTCTCCGGAGGGGCAGACAGTGGTCCATGAGGAGACGGACAATGTTACGAAGACTTTGGAGGTGGATGGCACAAAGGCAGTGGATAATGTTCCTGATGATAGAGCTACTAGTAAGGGGGAAGAGGAGGTTTTGGTGGAAAGGGATTTGAAGTCATCCGAGGAGGGGGCGTCACTAATATGGAGGCAAGAGGAGATAGGGAAAGTTGAAAAACCGATGTCACCAAGCTTATATCTTTTGAGGAAGGTAATGTTTACATTGAGGATAACATATCACTAATGGAGGGAGTGGTCTCTGATGGGAAGCAGGTGGAGATTGACGAGATTACTACAGAGGCGTGGAAATTAGTTTGTGGGGAACTCAAAAAGAAAGTGGCTATGATTGAAACCGAACAGGCAGACGCTTTGGGGGTTTTTGGGAGAAGAAAAAGCAAAGAGGCTCCTCGTTGATCGGTCACCACTCGGTTGGCGGCCAAGAGGAACACCAAGGATGGATCCTCTGGGGTTTCCCTATGAAGATGCTCACTTGGAATGTATGTGGTCTTATTTCGGCCTGTCCAAGACTACACCAATTTGTTAGGCAGTACTCTTTAAATTTCATTACTATTATTGAACCTCTGTTAATGCTTCCAATGGTGTTTTCTATTTAAATACTATGGGGTTTTCAAATTTGTTTAGGTCAGCCTCTAACAAGATTTGGGTTATGTGGAATTCCAATGTTTTTGACGTCTTGTCGTTCACAGACGCTGATCAGTTCTCGGTGATTAAGATGAAATATATTCCTCTTGATCTCACTTTTACCTTCTCCCCAGTGTATGGAAAACATACACGTAGAGAATGGAGCCTACTTCGGGAGGGTTTGAGAAGCTATGAGCAGAATGAAATGGCAGCGTGGTTGTTAGGAGGGGATTTTAATATGGTAGCATCGGTTGAAGAATATAAAGGACCTTCAGTGTCTAGAATGGGATATGCTGGATTTCATAGAATGCATTGATTCATGTGAACTTATACACCCACCAAGTGTGGGCTAGCTCATCTTATACCTGGACGGGGGTGAGGTCTAATGGGTGGGTTTGGGAAAAGCTAGATCGATATCTGATAAACCAAGCTTTCATGGATGTGTTCGCAAACGTTGACGTTCAGCATCTACGTAAAGCTTCTTCTGACCATTGCCCCATCTTGCTTATCGGAGAGGTGCCTTCGGCTAGGGGGCCAGCTCAGTTCCGTTTCCAGAACATGTGGTTTACTCATGGGGACTTTCTTTCTTTTGTGAAGAGAAAGTGGGATGAATACCCCAGGATAAGGGGGTATGCGAGGTATGTGCCTTAAGCTCAGGTCACTCAAAGTGGACTTAAAATTGTGGAACAATGAGATTTTTGGAGATATTTTTGGACAAACTAAAAAATTGGAGCAGGATGATATCCTTGCGGAGAAGGCTTTTGAAGAATCTCCTACATAAGAAGTCTGAGCAAACTGTCACCTTAAGCAGGCTATGTTGCTAAAATGGGTCAGGCAGAGGGATATTTATTGGAAGCAAAAGGCAAATATAAAGTGGATTAATGAAGGGGGTGCCAATTCTAAGTTTTTCCATGCGGCGGTGAAAGAAAAATTGTGAAAGCAATTTATTAGAGCGATCAAGAAAGAAGATGGAGACTGGCTTTATAGTGCACATGAAATTGGGGAGGAAGCAGTGAGTTTTTTGAAAATCTTTATAGTTTTGAGCCTACTTCGTCATATGACAGTCTTCTCCGGTTTATTCCCAACTTAGTGACTGAGGGGGGAAATGAGAGGTTACTATTTCTACCTACTGAGCAGGAGGTAAGGGAGGCATCTTGGGGGCTTAGTGAGGACGCTGCTCCTGGTCCAGATGGCTATGAGGGTTCTTTCTATAAAGGGTGTTGGGAGATTATTAAGCATAATTTGATGTTGACTGTTCATGATTTTTTCTAGGGGTTTGCTATTCCTAAAGGAATAGGGAGTGTGAATATGGTTTTAATCCCTAAGCAAAAAATCATGTTTCTTTTGGGGATTTTCGACCTATTTGCCTTTCTACTTTCCTAAGCAAGATAAATACCAGAATCCTAACTACAAAAATGGCTAGTTTGCTGTCTAAAATCGTCTCTAATGAGCAATTAGGTTTCTTGAAGGGTAAAGAGATTCAATATCAAGTCTTAACAGTGTTTGAGGTGTTACATCATTTAGATAGGAAGGTGCATGGGTCAAACCTAGTTGTAAAACTCGATATGGCAAAAGCGTTTGACCTAGTTGCTTGGGGTTTCTTGGATGTTATTCTTAAGAAATTTGGGTTTGCAGAAAGGTTTAGGAGACTAATTATGGGTAACCTTCATGCTACCTACATTTCTATTCTCATTAATGGTGCTTCCTATGTTTTTTTCAGCCTCATCGAGGGGTTAAGCAAGGAGACCCCCTTTTTCCTATCCTTTTTATTATCATGTCAGAGGCCTTTTCAAGGGGATACAATTACCTAACATCTAAGGGAGACATTGGTTTCTATAACGTGGGGAGGGGGTAAATATAACCCATCTTGCTTTTGCGGATGACTTGTTAATCTTCCTAAATGGAGCGGCTAAGTCTATTAGAAAATTTAACAAGTTCATTCACATTTATAAGCAAGCTACTGGACAGCTAATAAACAAGGACAAAAGTTGCTTTGTGGCGGGTAAACACACTTCAGCGGGTCAAATTGCTCACATTAATAATGAACTGGGGATGAAGAACATTAATTTTCCTTTTAAGTATCTGGGGGTCGAGATACATAAAGGCATTACTCGTTTGAGTCATTGTAAGGAACTGATTCAGAGTTTTGATAGTAAGCTTTGGCCTGGGGTTAGAGGCTGCTTTCCCAAGGTGGGAATCTTACACTGATTAAACATGTTCTTAGTTCAATCCCTCTACATGTGCTAGCAGTCACAGGTATACCAGCAGCAGTTATGCGTATTATTAACAAGAAAATCTCTAATTTCTTTTGGGGATTCAAGGAGAATAGGCCTAAACATCATTGGGTCTCTTTAAAGAGGATGTGTAGGCCTACTGAGTCAGAGGGGCTAGGTTTGAGGTCTCTCTCTCGGTCTCAAACAATTGCTGCTATTAAACTATGGTGGGAATACCAACACGGGGATTCCATTTGGGCTGGTCTTATGAGGAATAAGTATGGGAAGAGGACTTTGGGGGAGGCTAAGCCTTTGGACTCCCCAACTTTGGGGAGAATCTGCCAGATCCATGAGGTGGCAGAGGATATGGTGGATAGAGGCCCCTCCTCTATCACATGGAAGCATACAAAGGAGGGGCTTTTCACTACAGAATCAGCATACAAAGCACTAATGCAGGGGGGTCTACTTTAACTTATACAAGCATATGGCATCCCAAACATGTGCCTAAAATAAAAGTTTTTCTCTGGAGATTGTGGCACAAGGGGCTACCCTTCCCGGAGCAACTAGGGCGATTTGGGGTAAACTACCCCTCTTGGTGCCCACTCTGTAAGTCAGCTGACGGCTCCCAGGACCATGTCCTTCTAACGTGTACTGTAGCTAGCACAATTTGGAACTTCTTTGACAGTTCGCTGCAAATTCACAGAAATCAAGTTAGACAGGTTAAAGAACATATCAGGAAATGGTGGATTTCGGGAAGAGGAAAAACATTGGATGCTTCGTATATCGCGGTGGTGCCTGCAGTAATTGTCTGGCACATTTGGAAAACCTACTGAGACGCTATTTGGAAGGACGTTGCTCCAGATATACGGAAATTCATTATGCAAATAGTTGCTTTTATGATTAGTTTGTGTTTTGCAAATGATAATCTAAAAGGAAGCTCGAGAGTGAAGGGAGCTGGATTATTACCTGAAAATTTTGGTCGAGGCAAGCCAAGAGCTTGGAAATGGATAAAGCCCTCAAATGGGAAGCTGAAGCTAAGTTGGGCAATTTAAGACAGAGTAGGAGGTCTGCAACTGGTTTTCTTCTGAGAGACCATTCAGGCGCCATGGTCGCCGCAGATGGCTTTCCCCTTAGTGGCTCTTCGGATAACATGGATGACATCAAAGGAATTTTTAGGAAGACTCTGGGATGGGGAGTGTCGATTGGGATGAGGCCGTTTGATGTTGAGGTCTCTTATCCGCAAATGTTGGGGCGGTTGCTCTTATTATTTGGGCCGGAATGGACTTGTGAGCAGTTTTGGGTCTATTCCAGCCCAATGCAACAAGGCTGCTACCACGGTTGTTGGGCTAGGCTGGGAGGGTCCATTAAATTGGCAGGTTGGAGATCAGTTACCACATATACTACGAGGAGTTTTATTCTTGTACTCTATATCGTTTCCCTACATTTTATCATAATTTCAGTATTGTTTATTGCATCCTGTCTGGAAGAGGTTTTGGTATAGTTCTTCTCTTCTTCTGTATGGTGACTTTACTTTACTTTTATAAAACTTGGCAAATGTTCCCCGGCATTTGCCACACTCATTTTGGTAGTTTGTCTACCGGTATTTAAAAAAAAAATGTTTATTTGTTTATTTCTACTTATTCCAAATCTTACTTACTACCAATGCTTGAGTCTTAACTATCGGTTCCAGAATAAAAATTTACGTAGTATTATTTATATTAGATCTCATCTATTTCCATACATTTATACATCAATTAATAATATTAACAAACACGAAAACATAATTATTACATTATTTATGTCTCGTGCATCGCGCGGGTGAGAATCTAGTAAACTTAAAAGTGACGCATTAGACGTTATTAAATGTGATCAGTAATGGTTACAATGAACTAAAGGGTCATAAAAAATAAATATATGGTGACAAATTCAAAAATCGCCATTTATACCTTTTGCCACGGAGCTACGGGGACGATCGTTGTAGAGCTCCTAATTTGTCATGGAAAAGTTCTAATGACCACGAGTAATGAACTTTATGTGACGAATTTCCTCGTCATATTATGTCAAAATTTTTGTAGTGAATTCACAGAGCCCTAGTAGCGCGCCAAGCAAAAGCTGGAGAGGTTGAGGGGTCAATATGTTGCTTATGTCTTCGAGATGGCTGATATATGTGGAGTAGTGGCTGCTGAGGCTGAGCAAAGTTTGGCTGCATTAATCAAGCACAAATGCTAAAGCTACCCCATTTTGTACCCCCCTATGTTTGTAGTTCACAAAAGCACTTCATTAAAATGGAGCAATTAATTTAATTGAGTTGGATTTTTGTGAGCCACAAACATAGAGTGGGGCACAAAATGGGGTACAAAATGGGGTATCTCTAGCATTCCTCTTAATCAAGACGGCTCAAGTGGCTTGTTGAGGCAGAGACGACTGATAGGCTCAAGGAGTCCGAAAAACATGAAATATAAAATCTAAACCCATGATGCCTTTATTAATAATCTAAATTTACTTGAACCCTTTTTATGCATCTATTAACAATTGTTCAGAAGAAAAATCAAAGAAAAACATTACTTATAATAATCTAATTAATGTTTTACAAATTTTATTGACTGTGGTAGAATCTACGAAAAACCTATGTTTAAAAAACCGACCAGGACTAGCTGGGTCGACCCGGAACCCGGTGACTCAGACTAAAACTTGATTCGATTAGTTAAGAAACAGAAAAACCTGGCTAACCCGAAAAACCCCGGTCTAGACGCGGACCCGGGAAACCCGTCAAATCCGGAAGATTTGGTTTTGGTTGATTTTTCCAAAAATGTAATTTTTATATATAAATTTTACATCATTTTAACCAATGAAATTCCAACTTCAATACCCTAAAAAGAAAAATTACAATTTGTTCATATACTACTTATTTGTTTAAGAATAAAAATCATGTCAAATTATATAATAAATGTACAATACAAATAACTAATACAGAGTATCATTATATATTTTAATAAGATCAATATGGTATTTTGGAATACTATGAGACTATTTTAATTTTTAAATGCCTAGTAATTAATACCATTACTTGTGTTTTTTAAATAAAAGAGCGGCTTTTATATTAAAATCAAGAAAGTATACAGGACAACCTTCGGACAGTTACAAAAAATTCAATTGTAAGCCCTACGAATAGACTTAGAATCAGTCACCTCATACAAAACAAGCTGATTCGCTAGACACAAAACGAACAATTTTAAGCCTAAAACGACGGAAACGAAACCCTGCCTAGCAAAAGTACTTCAAAAACCCGAATATCAAAATCAAACTTACTCAAACTAAAATAAAAACAAGTACTACTAAAATTGTTCATAAGGATGAAGACCCGGATATCTACCTTAAACATCTCGGTGATGTTAAGGGAGATATTGTGAGACTTGACAACTACTTGGAACCTAGTACTAATAGTATGAACATGGACATTACTTTCACTTTGGAATGCCTTAATTCTTTGCGCGGTTTACATTGTTTGGGAGGGGAGTACTTTGTCTCCCCTCTTTTTATGGAACGTGTCTATTTCCTATTTATGGAGAGATACAAACCAAGGCCTAAACCTAGGCCGATTCAAAAGAATATGTTGGTGAAAGGTACTAAAGAGGGGGAAATGAGGAAAAACTAGCATTGTTTTTATGTTAGTGTCCTCTTGGAATATTAGAGGCCTTAACAAGGCCTCAAAACATAATACCGTTATCTCTTTTATGCGTACTAATAATATACAGGTCTGCTGCCTTCTTGAAACCAAACTTACTACCCCTAATTTGGATAAGTTCTTGTCCAATAGACTGCCCAATTGGTACTCTATTACGAACTTTGACAAAATTGATGGTGGTAGAATGGCCCTCATATGGGATCCTAATTTTGTGGAGCTTACTACTTTGGAGATTGATAAACAACATATTCATTGTAATATTAAGTGTTTGACTACTCATAATACTTTTCTTGTGACTTTTGTCTATGCCCTTTATACGGTGGTGGATAGAAGAAATCTTTGGGAACACATTGCTTCTTTTGAACCTAATATTAATGTTCCTTGGCTTGTGTTGGGTGATTATAACTGTGTTGGCATCCCTATTGAGAGGATTGGGCCAACTCCACCCTCGGCCTACTATATCCAAGACCTGAATAATTTTAAGATCCAAGCTAACCTTGTGGACACTCCTTCCACCGGGGAGTTCCTTACTTGGAATAGAGGCTCTATGTGGGCCAAACTAGATAGAGTCCTTATGAACTCTCTTTGGTCTGCCAACAACATTACTTGTAACACTCACTTCTTTGAAATGGAAGTTGATTGTGATCATTGTGCTTCCTTGGTTACAATTGGCCATAACATGCGTGTGGGCTCTAGACCTTTCAAGTTTTTCAATATGTGGCTTAAGCATGAATTCAGCCTTCACTAATATTTTGGCTAATCATTGGTTCCAAGACATGCATGACACTCCTCAATTTAGGCTTGCCCGCAAGCTTAAAAGACTTAAAGGGCCTTTGAAAGAGCTTAATTACAATGCCTTTGGGCATATTTCCGAGAAGGCCAAGGCTGCTAAAACCGAATATAAAAGAATTCATGCTCTTTTACTTCTTTCCCCTCTTGATGAGGATATTAAGAATGAAGTTGATTTGGCCAAGAAGAATGCTCTTTACTTAAAGAAAGTCGAGGAGGATTTCTTTAGGCAAAAGGCTAAAGCTAATCACTTATTCCAAAGTGACTGTGGTACTAAATACTTCCACTCTATTGTCAGAAAGAATGTGGTTAAAACTCCATTACGTCTATTAAGTTAGCAAATGGCAATCATACCACTTCTTTAGACCATGTTGCTTGTGAGTTTGTTAGATTTTATACGGATCTTTTTGGTTCTTCTGACCCTAATGTGGAGATTGATCCTGACATTATCCTTTCTGGTAAATGTCTAGATAGCTCCAAAGCTACTGAAGTCATAGCTCTGATCACTGACATTGAAATTAAAAACTCCCTATTTGATATAGGGGATAATAAATCTCCTGGCCCGGATGGCTATACTTCTACTTTTTTTAAGCACAATTGGGACATTGTGGGCCATGATGTCATTTTGGCTGTTAGGGGTTTCTTTAATTCTGGCAAGCTGTTGAAACAAACCAACCACACGGTTGTTGCTCTTATACCTAAGACTTCCCATGACCTTAGTGCGGCTGATTTCAGGCCTATCTCTTGCACTAATGTCATTTATAAGGTTATTACTAAAATCACTGCTTCTAGGATGATTCCTTGTTTACCTAAGCTTATTGATCCCTCTCAAGGGGCCTTTATTGATGGGAGACTTATGCTTGATAATGTTTTCATTGCTCAAGAGCTTGTCAAAGGCTATACTAGGAAGCGTATGTCTCCTAGATCTATGATCAAGGTTGATCTTAGGAAAGCATATGACACTATCTCTTGGGATTTCCTTAAGAGTGTCTTGCTTACTATTGGCTTTCCTACCAGATTTGTTCTGTGGATTATGGAATGTGTTTCAACTTCTTCTTATTCTATTTCCATAAATGGGATACTTCATGGTCATATCAAAGGAAAAAGGGGGCTTCGGCAAGGTGACCCTATGTCACCTCTCCTCTTTGTTGTTTGCCTTGAATATTTCTCTAGATTGCTTCATATGAGAACCAAAGTCTCTTAGTTTAAGTTCCACCCGAAGTGTGGTAAACTTAATATCTACCATGTTGCTTATGCTGATGATCTCATGCTCTTTTCTAGAGGGGATTACCCCTCTATTAAAGTTCTCATTGATGCGCTTGAGGAGTTTGGTACTGTCTCTGGGCTCAGAGTTAATTTTGATAAGTCTAACATTTTCCTTGGAGGTCTTGCTGATCATGACCTTGCCCATATCCTTGACTTAATTGATTTCAAAGAGGGGACTTTCCCTGTTAGATATCTGGGCATCCCCTTAGCACCACTTAAGATTGCGGTGGCACAATATGCTCCACTTTTGGAGTCTATTACTAACTTCATTACTGCTTGGAACACTAAGTCTCTATCCTATGCTGGGAGAGTTGAGCTCATTAAATCTGTGATACAGGGTGTTCACTCTTTCTTGCTTCAAGCACTCCCTATCCCTAAGGCTGTTTTGGACAGAATCACTTCTATTTGCCGTATTTTCCTTTGGGGGTGCAAATATGCTAGAGTGGCGTGGGCTGATGTCTGCCTCCCTAAAGAGGAAGGTGGGCTTGGTATAGATGACACCCATGTTTGGAACTCGACTCTTTTAGCTAAGACCCTTTGGGATATACATATTAAAAAAGATAACCTTTGGGTTAGATGGATACATGGTGTTTATCTTAATGGGAGAGGTGTTTGGGAGTTTACACCTCACAAAAGAGACTCCCAACTGATTAAAAAGATTGCCCGGATTCGTGATCAAATTTTGAGCCATTTTGCTAGCATCCATGATGCGGTTACTTTTCTCAATGGTTGCCAAAATAATGGCAAGCTGTCATCGGTTAAAGTTTACAATCTCCTTAGAATGAAGGGGGGTACTCATATGTGGATGTCTTTCATTTGGAAGAACTATATCCCCCCTAAGTTCTCTTTCACGATTTGGTTGGCTCTCCGTAACCGGCTTGCCACTTTTGACAATTTACATAGGTTGGATGTGGTTAATATTTGCCCATTTTGTAAGGGTGGTCTGGAAACGGTACCACACCTATTTTTTGCTTGTTCTTTTGCAGGTAATGTTTGGCATAAGGTGAGGACTTGGCTGGATATCCCAAGGGAGATGGGGACCTTACATAGCGCCATGAAGTGGATCAAGAGAAAAAGGCAAGGAGCGGGAGTAAAGGCTAAAGCAGCCAGGATTGCTTTCTGCTATTCCATCTATTGGATTTGGAGAACCCGGAATGCTACTTGTTTTGATGGCCTTGTTCCCAAAGAAGATGATGTTTTTGCTAAGATTCAACATATTGTTTATAAGCTGTTGTATAAGCTTTATCCTTACGAACTTGTCCATATTTGATGCGTTGCGTTTTGACCATCACGTTTTGGTGATTGGACTTTGTAAGCTGCAGGTTCTTTTGGTTTTTTGGTGCCTCACCCTCCTGTTTTTGGGTGCTGGCCGTGGGCGTTTTTGCTGCTTGGGAGAGGTTATCCTTGTTGGATAACCTTTCATTTTTGTTCTCTTTTTACTTGTACATTCTTCCACCCCCCTCTTTTCTTGGGTGTGTTTTATATACTTACCATTCACCCAAAAAAAAAACAAGTACTACTAAAGATGAAATAATGTTGGATTAAAGTCTTTCCACAAAGCTTTTCCTGGCGCGGAAGTGGTTTTGAAGGAGAACGTGCTGCTACAATATGAGTGGATACTAGATTCTTCTTCTTACTTCGTTCTGAAAGGACGTAGAAACAGGTGGCCTGGAGACACAAACACTCTTCATGCGTCTTCCATACTCTACACAATCCAAAAAAATACAGTCAGAAACTCCTGACCAGGACATCAAAGCAACTCCCCACATCGAGGGAGACAAAACACCCCAGAGCATTGGAGCCTGGCAAATAACAACCATAGAACAAAACAAACACAATAACAAAAGAAGAGTAGTGCAGTTGGGTTATACTCCTACAAAAAATCTTTGCGAGCGATGTTACCTTCAATTTAGTCAGAGAGAAGAACGACGGTAAGGTAGCACTCTCTTCCCAACTGTCCGCTCATTATAGCCACACTAGCATCTGTGATGCGCTGCTTTACGAGGCTCTCAAATCACTATGCAATGCGCTCGAATCGAAAGAATTGCGAACAAAGAACTGAATGTTTGATTATAGAGAACAAGATTAAAATGAAGCTCGAATGCTGAATTGCTTTGCCTATGCGGCTATGCCGCCCAAACTTCGGCGTTGTTGAATAGATTAACTACGCTTATCATTAGTTAATTATGAAAACAGTACATTTCATTATAATTTTGTATAAAATTATATTATATGTTAATTATTATTACATGGTTGATCGATTTTATGACGTTGACTGGGTTGACTCGATCCGGTTTGGGTTTACCTGTGACCCGACCACGTGGCTCAGTGCTTTTTCTTAAAATTAGAGAAAAACTTCTAACGATCCAATAGTGTAAGTGAAAGCTTCTTCGCCCTTCAAACCTTTTCAACACCCCATCCAATAATCGAACTTTCCAACGATCCAAGCATAGGAACCTGCACAACAGCGCATCTAACATTCTCTCCCACCATCCAAGCAGTACGCTCGTCCTTCTCTCTAGGGTTGCCGCAAGGTAACCTCTAGCTTGGATTTGTCCGCTATCGGCCTTTGCCGAGGAGCGGGGCTAGGGGTTTCCGGTCAATTTGTTGGAATTGAAGAGTCTTCTCTATAGTGGTCATCTCCCTACGAGTTAGGGTTTTTTTTCTTCCGCTTTTTTCATCGACGAAGAGCGGCCGACGATCGTTTTCGATCGTGCAAGCAGGCTCGGGACCAGGGATGCAGTGCTATGGCGACCAGGGCTCAACTTCTGCTGTTGTTTCTGGTCGAAGGTCAAGTGTTGACAAAGAAAAGGTGGATAAGCTGTGACAGAGTATGGTTTCGATTCAGCAACAAGGGATGGCAAAAGAGGATATCGTCATTCACTACAAAAGCATGACTATAGAGGGGGATGAGCGGCGGGCGCGTCCCCCTCCTGAGCCGCCGCCATGGATGGCAAGCAAGTCTAGGGTTTGGAAGAAGATGAGTGAACGCTGTTCTAATTCAGTTTTATTCTGTTTGTGTTTTTATTTAGAATTGCATGTTGTTTTGGATTATTCAGTTTTATTCTGTTCTAATTCATGTTGTAATGAGAAGTCTGGTTTGCTAGTCATTGGCTCAATTAAGCCCATTACAGGATCAATAAACATTATTGCTTCTACATAGGTGATATATTTTAGGCTAAAGGGTCAAATAGGTCCTTGTACCCTTTCGGATTGCTCAATTTGCCCCCTCAACCCAAAAAAGCTCCAATTGGCACCCTGAACTCGATAAAAATATTCAAATTTCACTTTTTGCAAGTTTCAACCCGGTCACCGCCACGTCACCCCGGTAGGGTGCCAACTGTGCATGTGACGTGGCAACTTAGGGGGTCAAATAAGCCCATGAACCCGATCGAATCGTTCAATTTACCCCCTCAACCCTAAAAAATGTCAAATTTTTTTTAAGGGTTGAGGTGGTAAATTGAACATTTCAGTCGGGTTCAGGGGCTTATTTGACCCCCTAAGTTGGCACCCTACCGGGTGATGTGGCGGTGACCGGCTTGTGACCTGCAAAAAGTAAAATTTGAATCTTTTTATGGAGTTCAGAGTGCCAATTGGAGCTTTTTTTAGTTCGGGGGACAAATTGAAGAATCTGGAAAGGTACAGGGGCCTATTTGACCCTTTAGCCTATATTTTAAGTCTAGCTCGAGGGAGGACATGAGACATAAGACTTTTTATCGCTTTGTTTACTTCTTTTTCTTTGATTGTTTTTTTTTGATTGTATTATAAGTCATATGATAAACGTTATTTTGAGTTAATATATTAGTTGGATGGGATAGATCAAAAAAAGGGAAATGGGTCAGACAGGACCTCGAACTTACAAAAAAATGTCAAATAAGGCCTTGTATAGGAGGTTCTGTCCGGCCAACGCCATTTAGGGCGGTTCCTGGTGGAATTTTTCGATGAACTTTTGTGAGAATCTTATTCATTAAGTCTAGTTTACTCATACCAATTTTCAGCTAAAACTTCAATCGGGAAGGCATTCAAATAAATTGAAGATATCTGCGCTTTTAACTGCGTACTTATGTTCAAGAATTTATCTTCAGCTAAAACTTGAAGATAACTGCACTTTTAACTGCGCACTTATGTTCAAGAATTTATTTGAATGCCTTCCCGATTGAAGTTTTAGCTGAAAATTGGTATGAGTCAACTAGACTTAATGAATAAGATTCTCAGAAAAGTTCATTGAAAATTTTCACGGGGAATCGACCAAAATGACGTCGGCCGAAAATAACTTTCTATATAAGATCTTATTTGACATTTTTTTTTAAGTTCACAAACGTCAGCCTTTTCAAAAAACGATCAAGCATAGGCCAATATGGCTGTTATTTGGACAGGCAGGCAATATGGCTCTCATTGGAGAGAGAGAAGGCAGGTCCGATCAGCAAATATCATTTGCTTCTCAGTGGATAGGACTGAGAAGAAGGATGTCTAAGCTTCTTCTCCCTACGGCCCGTCTGACGTCACTTCACATCCGCTCCTTCACAGTCCGCCCACCCGCCGTTCACGTCTCTCCATTTCCACTTAGCAGTCCTCTCCCGAGACATTTCTCTACATACACCCGCCGGTGCTTCTCTGTTTCCGCCAAAGGTGCGAAAAACGGCGATGTGTTGTCATCCACGAAAGATGAGCTGAAGAATACTGAGGTTAACTCCGACGGGGGTCCTACTGTATCTTCCGGTGAGGAACAGTACCCTAGTGGTGAATTTCACTTTGAAGAGTACGGGCGGTGGAAGCGTTTCGTTGTGATGCTTAGATTGCTATTTGTGCTTCCATGGCAGCGCGTGAGGAAAGGCAGTGTTTTGACCATTAAGTTGCGGGGTCAGGTTTGGCTTCTTATTGTATCGATGGTGGCAGAGTTACACCGAGCATATAAATTGACAATCTGCAACAGTTTCATGCAGTAGAATCTTAAACTGTGCTTAGTTATTTCTTAAAAATGCGTTTTTTTGTATCTGATGACTATAGAAATCAGTGAAAACATGATGTACTGGATTGATAAAGATTTCATCTCATTACAGATATCTGATCAGTTACAGAGCCGTTTTTCTTCACGGTTATCTTTGCCTCAAATTTGTGAAAACTTCACAAAAGCTGCTTATGATCCTCGGATCTCTGGTATCTACCTGCATATTGAACCACTCGCATGTGGCTGGGGAAAAGTTGAAGAAATCAGGAGGCATGTCTTGGATTTTAGAAAATCAGGTCAAGAGTTGCACTACCAATTTCTATTTAATGTACTCCGTAATTGAGAAGCCGTGCTCTTTGTCTTCTGTCGATCACTAGACCTGACATATTGGCCTTGTTTCGTAATAAACCGATTCTTCTTTTAGAGGTTATGCCCAGTGGGGGTGTATCCGTGTATTTGTTGTTTTAACCTTGTGGTGAGGGCATGCTAAATAGTACTGCTTAGCAATTTTTTTAAATGACCGAGCAGTAGAGCGTACTTACTAGGAGGTATCATATTTCCCTGAACTGAATGCTTTAAACATAATGACGCTTGTGTGTTGGAAAACTGATGCTTGTTGTGTTTGTGTGTCAAACTGAGTATTGTGATCAATGTCTTTATGATATCTACTTGTAGAAAGTTATAAACTTCAGACAATTTGCTCTAATGCCCTGTTTCGGTAAACTGAACTTAAGTAAACCTAAGTTTTAATAGAAACTAGGCTAACCTAAGTGAACCTAGGTTCATGCGTAAAATATTATGTGGAAATAAATAATGTGAACCTAGGTTAATGTAACAAATGTTGTTTGAATGAAGGTACTCTAGCTCATTTTATGTTATACGAGAACTTAACCTCCAAAATCCCCCACTTCGAAGGTTTTCAATTTTAGATTTTTCCAGGTTCTCAGGAGTTATATGAGGTTAACCCAAATTTATTAATAACCTAGGTTCTTGTTGTAAAAATACAAAAACGGGGTTAACTAAAAATTGAACCTGCAATACCCCCCAGGTTAACCCCCAAACAAACAAACCATAAGGGAACTTAAAAGTTGAAAAGGGAAAGAGCCGGGTGGGGTGTGTCAACCTGTTCCATTTTTATCGTATGGTTGTAATATCAGTTTTATACTTTTATGTATGCCTGTCAGAGTAAATAGATTAATCCTTCCATCCCTTAATAAACTCCTACTTTTCCATATAATATTTATTATCTTAAACTTCACATAAAAGCAAATGTGACTTTTAAACAGGGAAGGAAGAAGTATCAAATAGAGTACCATAAACATAGAATCTCAGTTTACATGTTAATTTGCAGGAAAATTTGTTGTGGGTTTCACGCCTGCTTGCGGTGAGAAAGAGTATTATATTGGTTGTGCATGTGAGGAGCTTTATGCCCCTCCAAGTGCTTATTTTGCTTTATATGGTCTCTCTGTCCAAGCATCATTCCTGGGAGGTAAGCACTTGTATCCTTAAGGTGCATTCTGATTTCGAATGGAATGAAATGAAGGAGTATGATTGAATCCTGTAGGTGTCCTTGAAAAAGTTGGGATTCAGCCACAAGTTGAGAGGATTGGTAAATACAAGAGTGCTGGTGATCAGTTAATACGCAAAAGCATATCAGAGGAAAACCGTGAGATGCTAATTGCCTTGCTTGATAACATCTATGAAAATTGGCTTGATAAAGTCTCTGTTACCAAAGGTAATGGTTTTGTTTTGGCATGTTAAAGAGTTAGGCTATTCAGACTAATTCCATGCTGCTGTCAGATTGTTAATCTTTGGGACCCCTAAATCCTAATCCATTGTATTGCTACAGAATAACGGGCTTCTTCAATAATTTTATGATTTTCCAAGCAGGGAAGAAAAGAGAGGATGTTGAAAATTTTATTAATGAAGGAGTCTACCAAGTTGAGAGGCTAAAAGAAGATGGCTGGATAACGGGTATAAAGTATGATGATGAGGTACAATAGAGTATTGCTTTTTATTCCTAAGTGTTAAAACACTTCTTCATAATTTGCACACTGTTAAGGATTCGTTTTGTGAAGAGTATAAAAAAAGAATATTAGATACCTGAAAGCTATGAGTGAATCAACTTCCAATGGAAGGTGAAAACATTTCAACTAACTGATGTCTTACATTTTAGGATTATAACATGGTGCTATTATGATTCTTTCCTTGAGGCTTGACACTAAGATTTACTCTGCATTGACTATGAAGTTGTCTTTTAAAATCAAGTTCGCTGCTGTATTAGATTTTTATTGAAGTGACTCCCCCCAAAAAGTAGCATGAGAAGTACATTTAGGTCCATTCTTGTTAAGTGTCTTGCATCGCGTGTTTACCATATTTGTGTATGATGTATACCTAAATTAATATGGAATCAGATCCCGATGTGTTGTTTGTTTGTTTGATATCCAATGGTTTGGGGTGACCTGTTTGTACCGGTTTGGCTCATTTACCCACCTATCAAATTGTTTGGTCGGATGTGGACCTCTTGAGATAAAGTACTAGATTTGTGCCTATATAAGTGTGAGATAAAGTACACCTCTTGAGGATGCATTTGATGTGAATTTGGCCCTTTTTTTTAAACTAAAGGTTTCAACTTTCAAGAACATAAAATAGCTGAGACCACATAGTGTAAATGCACATAAGGCTATAAAGTTCCTGGAGCTATCTTAGAATTCATTAGCATGGCGATCCTGTTCCAAGTTTACCTCTTCCTTAGAAAACTTCTTTAGGTAGAATATAAAAAAGGTAAAATGTAGGGTCACTAAGTCTCCTTTGGCATGAGCATCATCGGTAACCTATATAGCACAAATACGGTAATGCAGAAAAGTGAGAACGTGAGAGCAGGTACGGGGATACGACAAAAAAATATTTGATACAAATATGGGGTATTTTTATAAATATTAAAATTTATGGGGGTGTATTTATAAGGTAAATTTCCTAGGATATGACTAAAACTCATTAAGTTTCCCTAAATATGACTAACTTAGTTTTTAGACATTTATATGACCGAAAATCCAAAGAAAAAAAAGAAAATCTCGCTAATAATTGAATGTTGAATGACGAAAAATCGAAAATACCCTTATTTAAAATACATGCATTTTGCACTATTTTCGTTCAACTAAAATTACTGCACTTTATATTGCACTAATTTGAGTTAGTGCACGACATTAATGCACGACATTAGTGCACACCCGGTAATAATCACTGCACTTCCGCCAAAATTAATTCTCTTCTCATTCACTTTAGGAATTTATGTATAGTTTTTATTTTTTATTTTTTTAGATTTAATAATTTTATTATTTTACGTCTAATTAAATATATTGCATTTCATGGTGGCATTACTGCTCTGTGTTACTGAACTAATGATCATAATCACTGCATTTGCCGTCAATGCGTTCATTTACTGCCCGTATACAACACTATTTATTGCCATGTTCGCAGTCCATAATCAACACTATGTATTGCAATGTGCCCTGCCCATATTCAATGTCCAAATTGAACACATACAGTAGATAGATCACATCAGAGTGATTACCAAAAAATCAATCCAATTAACTGTATTGGTCACAAATCACAATAAAGTTAGAATAACCACCGAAATAAAAACACTAATCACAACATATAGGTACAAATTAAACCTAAAAAGCACAATACATATTGTGAAAGATTATTACTCCCTTTGTCCCGTAAAGAAGTTCCCGTTCTGTATACGATGCTACGATGCTTGACTGACGATAAAGCAACTCGAATCCTGTTCACACTCGGATTATTTTTAGTAAATAAAATTTACATATTAAGAAACTACATTAAAACCGCTACCAAGCTTGATCAAGAAAATTTAAATTTGATAAAAATTTGATATATAAAGTAAAAGATTAGGAGTGATTTAAGTTGACCAATGAATAGTGAATGAGAACTTCGTTTCGAGACGGAGGTAGTACAAATTAAACTTAAAAAAAGAAGAAAAAAAGATTATTTCTCATATTAATCTACGTGTGACTTGCACATAAAACAGTGCCTCCTTAGTTTCCCAAAGGCTGCCGTCAAATTTAGCAATGAGTGTGGCTGAAGAGATGGTGTGCGTTGAACTTGTGGTGGTGATTAGCGAGAAAAATATGTGCTTTTTCATAGAAGGCTATGAAGTGAGGGATGTCAGCAATAGCGAAATTCTCTTCAGGGCCAAAAAGATCGATCCCATCCTGAGGCGACCTGAGGCGGCGACAGACGGATGTGCGGCGGGCTATGGGTGGAGTTATGGAGGTGGGAGAATAGAGGCTAGTGTTGGAGAAAAGAGTAGAAGCTTAGGGCATGTTTACTAACAGAAATATTTTTCTGTTTTCATTTTCTGTTTTCAAGTCTCCAGTTTTCCGTTTTCGTTTTCCAGTTTTTTGTTTTCCAAATCAGAAAACATGTTTACCAGAGTTTTTCAATTTTCCATTTCATTTTTACAAGAAAATGTTGACTTAATATTTGGAAAAGAAATGCACAATTACAAACATTTTGGAATAACACAAAAAATTAACATAAAATGTTCCCCAACCCTAAATGTTCAATAAGTAACATTATGTTAATCAGAACAACAATCGTACTTTGACATCTCATACATTATAATCATCCCATATTGCATTTGCAATACTCTCTCGAATTTCGTGCATTTGTTGTAGTTGAGACATCAAATTGGAGTGATTCATTTTCATTTGTACTTGCTTCTGTGTTAAATATCATATCGTCTTCCTCTTACTCCAAGAACAAACGATCGTTCCTATCTTGCATGCGAATAAAGTTATGCAATGCGCAACAAACTATGGGAATTTGAACCTATCTTCTCAATGGGTAACCACGTGATATGTCTAGAATGGGAAATCTTTCCTTTAGTACTCCGAAACACCTCTCAATCACATTATGCAAGGACGAGTGTCGGTAGTTAAATAAAGCTTGCTTGTTGCGTATTCATCCTCGACCTCGAAAATCATTTAAGTGATAACTCTCTCCACATTATGGAGCTAAAAAACCGGGAACATTTGGATAGCCGACATCAACAACATAGTAATAACCTGTAATGAAGTCAATAACAACTGCAATTGGAACCAATTTTTGTAAAATAGTCACTTGATTAACACAAATTGCATAATTATTGTATTACCGATAGGAGGCATGGGCAACCCATTTTCGCTTCTTGTAATTGCATCTAAAAATACTCGAGTCATTGCACGTTCCCTCCCAATCCGCATATACATACGTAAACAACATGTCACCGTTGAATGTCTACCGCGAAACGTCTTTTGTTTTGAAGCGGGTGCTGAGGCTGCTACATGAATACCATCAATGGCACCTACACATTTCTACAAAATTTGTACACCATTAATAGTATGAGTTAACCTAAGTATTGAAAAAGGTAATTAGGCTCACACATACCTCAAAATAAGGATACCATTTCGGCTTTTCTAAAATTTCTGGTTGAACTGGGCCCCTATTAACCGACTTTATAACTTCATTGCCCAATCGTGCAAGTGCTCTTACCACACGCTTCACACATAAGTGAATAGTTCGCATTAAATGCTGAAAACGCTCTGCACATGTACGTTGACCCGCACCTTGGCATAACACTAAAAGACCTATTCCTAATTGTTCTTCGACTCTTAAATATCTTGAATCGTGTAGAGCATCCAAATTCTTAAGTCTTTCACATAATCGTAGGAATACATGTGGGTTCATCCTAAAACTCTCATAGCATCTTAGTGGATGACCTGTCATTAATTCGTCGATATAAGTGTTACCTGTCAGTATAGACGTTCGACATGGAATTCTTTCGACATCAACTAGAACGCATGTAGCCATTAATAGTAGGGCCCCAAACTCATCATCCTCGTCACTTGTAGAGTCTGAATTATCATCACCACTGCCATTATGGGACATTGTCTATCTGCAATAGAGTATAACATTCATGCTTCAAGTTCGAGAAAAATGCGAAATGACATAATACGTAACAAAGACTTTCAATAATTCGACAAACAATACATAAAGAAATATTGTTCTAACAAAGTGTTCAACTGCAAATACATTTAACATAAAACATAGAGTAGGAAAACCAAACACAGTTCAACTAGTTAGAATCAAATCTCAAAACCCAATCCAATTGTCGGTCTGCGGGCATAGCCATAAAGGCCTCACGTCGGACAATATTTGTAAGTGCATCGATGGAATCATTATAAGCACGGGTTAACACATTCGGCATAGCATTTATGACTTCAACGCATCGGGTCGTAGCAAGTCCTCCACTTGCACTCCCTTGTCCAAAAACAAGATTCATTAACGGATAGTTCTTGCAACCCTTCCTTTTAAAGGTCTTAAAGCCCCTGTTCAACTGCATATTTGTAGTACACATGTGTAAATTAAAGAGCTTACTAAAATATGATTCAAAAAGATAAAACCATTAAATAAAACATGTACCTTGTAAAATTTTTGCCAACATTCCTCTGTGGCATAAACAACATTCCGACCGGAATCATATGTAACTCCAGTATGAGCCAATAACTGACCAAATTGTCTGTGGATGAGCTTCAACATATTGTACTTTCCCATAGCCTGTCACTACCATATTGATAACGACCTCAGATCAACATTTCATTATCCATATCATTCCAGTCTCGGTCCTTAAATGTTGGGTCCCCAGTTGGGTCTTTTTTCACCCTTTCATATAGCACAGTCAAAAACAAAGTCTCTTTTTCATCGGGTCATATGACATCATCCTTTTCTTCTTGAGTTAAACTCATTTACCACAAATTGTGATAATGGTTACACGGAATTATAAGAGACTTGCAACAGAACTAGGCTACTGCTACGGAAATATATTAGGAAGAAGTTGCAACAGAATGCAGGATATACATGAATTATAATTATGTTCTAACTGTACTACCTTATGGCAGATTACCAAGAGTAATCTAACTACTGATGTCACCATCTAACTCTTTGATGTTCCAACTATACTACCTTATGGCAGATTACTACTCCCTCCGTCCCGGAATTATCTTCACTCTTTCCTTTTCGGTCCGTCCCAAATTTATCTCCTTTTTCCCTTTTTGGTAAAGAATATGTGGTTCACAACCATTCTTACACATTTCTCTCTCCTCTGCATAACTCTCCACCACACAAATCCCACTATCTTAAAACTCGTGCCCGGTCAAAACCGGAGTTAAATATGGGACGTAGGGAGTACCTTTTTTCTACAATAAAGAGTTTGACTTGCTTACTATATGAACACTGCCAAATTTTCTATTGGTAGTAATATTGGTTTAACAGTTCACATTTAACAGTTCACAAAAGTAGTAATATGCCATTTGATTTTTGATTTAAAAGTTCACATTTGATTTTCTATTGGTTAAGTAACTTAACTTAATGGTGTTTGGACTCTGGTCTTTGGACATTCCAAAATTTATATAGTAAGACTACTTTTATTAGACTTTCCGTGAACCATTAACCATGAAGGCAATTTATTCTTACAAAAGTTTACAAAAGTAGTAATATGCCATCAGGTATAATGGAATCAAGTCCTGATGGCTTATTGTAAAATAAACTGTTGATGTAAAAAAAGGTAGTAATATGTTCATGGAATCAAGAACTCTTGAAGTAAAAAATTATGTCCTTTACTCATTTATAGAGTTCTAAATAAAAATAAAAACCAAAGATAAAAATCAGCCTTCTAGTTGATTTCCCAGGGAAATAAGTACAGACTAAGGCAACCATTGATAAACAATGAAAAAACCCTAAGAACGAAATTCACAAGTATAATAGGCAGAGTGAAAATTCACGAATTTCAGGAATCCAATCAAATTCGAAATTTGAACATGGTAAAGTGAAAATTCCATTTAATTTGAGAGCTTACCTTTAAGTCGTTGACAGAACACGAGCCGACTGAAGATTTGGGAGATTCCGTGATGTTCAGGGCTCCTAGCAGCGATGCTTTCCGGGTCTTACCTTGAACGCATGTAGGAAGTGTAAGGTGTGTTGTTTGACGAAGCTTTCCTTCGACTTTAATAGCTAGGGAAGCGGTGCAGCTGTTTGGAGAAGAAGTAAAGAGCGTAGGTGGAGAAAGGTAGGGCGATGAAGCAAAGTTAATGTGAGCGAGTAAAGGCTGGTAGACGGAGGAAGATGAGCAAGTAAATACAATTCTAATGAGCGAGTTTTCTAAAATGCGAAAACACCTCAAAGTCGCTTCTCCGTTTCACGAGTAAAAAGGCTAGACATGTTTCATTTATTTGATTTTGAAAACGGGTAGGTAACAGGTTTTCTGATTTTTCTATCTCCAGTTTTCAGGAAAATCGCACTTTTTGTCCCTGAAATAGTCGCCATATTGAAATGTCAGACCCGTATTCCCGAGGTTGTAATTGTCACCCCTTAATTGTCCAAATTGTTGTAAATGTGGTCCTTTGAGGGGTGAAATGTACTCCTCGCCCACAATGTACATTTCATCCTCAAAGGACCACATTTACATCAATTTGGACAATTGAGGGGTGACATTTACAAACTCGGGAATACGGGTCTGACATTTCAATATGGTGACTATTTCAGAGACTAAAAGTGCCACTAAAAGTGCGATTTCTCCCAGTTTTCCAAATTTTTGGAAAAACAGAAAATATTTCTGTTAGTAAACATGCCCTTAGGGTTTTATAGCTATGACGCAAAGGGTATATTTGTCCACCTAAATTTTTTATTTATTTATTACGAATCTTAATTAAATATTATGAATTTTAATATTTTTTTGGTAAAAAAATTAGTTAGGTCATAGATTGGGAAAGTGAAGAACTTTTAATCATAGCTAGGGTAATTATCTCTATTTATAAATATTAAAAATTACAATTACTTTTTTGAAAATATATACATGTATTTTCCTCTGCCCATTCATGTCATTCAACAATTCCACATTACCAAGATAGTTAAAAATTAATTCACACTTTATCTAATATACACTCCACACTCGTGCATCTCAAAATATAAATATAGTTAATTAACCACTCATCCCAAATGAGAAACAAGTCAAACAACTAAAGGTTCTAAATAAAACTACATGTACTCAAAGTTCTTAGATATAAATTGCTCCATGAAGATAAAACACAATGCTCTAATTAAAAAAACTAAAAGCTCTAACAAATATTTTCACTGGAGCTACTGATTTCAGTAATTTCCAATGCTAACATCGTCTTTTAAAAAGACAGCCTCCAATTCTGATTCATCTATGGAAAGGTTGGCAAACTCAAGTACTCATATACCTTCGACGATACGCGTATCCGATTTTTAAAGTCGTCATCGTCATCATCATCATCACTACCCCAATGGCACAAAGGCTCCCACCTACGGTGGGGTAAGGGGAGGTCGGATGTACGGAGTCTTACCCCTGTACTAAAGCACAAAGAGGCTGTTTCTTGATGACCCATAGTGAAATCGCGTCGAAAATTACATGGACTGACTGCTATTTCATAACAAAAAAGCGCAAACAGTTTAGTGAACCATTTCAGATAAAAAATGGCATGGGAACGTACGGTATGGGTATTCTAAAGTATATGATACGGGAACGTTTCTGATACACGGATACAGTACCAAGTATAGGTGGTACATAGTCAGTAACTCTTGTATCTTCCGTGCCATAATATAAGTAACATTTAATTTTGGCACTGCAGTTTGTGTGCTCTAACATGTTTAACTTCCAGGTTATGTCTATGTTGAAAGAGCGTTTGGAAACTCCAAAGGATAAGAGTCTTCCTACAGTGGATTATAGGTCAAGTTTTGACCCTGTTCCTCTGCTTTTTGAGGTGTCATCAGCTTGTCTGTTTTGTTTGTGATTTTGTAATTGGGTTAGACACTAAATGTTGCTCTCATTCTATGATAGTACTCTTTCATCAATTGTGCAAATTCTTGGGTACTTTTGTCTTCTTTAGATGGTCTAAGTGAAAAACTTGTATCTCAATTCAGTATCACCTATATTTCCCGTTAACTGTATAAACTAAAATACTAAAACTTCAATGGCTGTTTATTCTCTCCTGTTCAAACATGTCCTATGGTTTTTAACTTACCCCCCCATCAACAACCGTACTTCTAATCACTTCTTTAATATACTGATTGCAGGAAATACTCTCGAGTCAAGACACGGACTCTGGGCCTTGCAGGCTATAAAGATCAGATTGCTCTAATTCGGGCCTCTGGAAGCATTAGTCGTATTCGTGGCCCTTTTAGCGTGCCTAGTTCAAGCATTATAGCAGAGCAGTTCATTGAAAATATTCGTAGTGTTAGAGGTATATTTTCATCTTGTGTGGTCATCATGGTTTCAAGCTAAAACAAGAATGATATGATTGACCTTGGTCCATATAGCCAACCCCAGTGGTTTTTGGAATTAGAGCTTGCTTGTTGTGGACAAGATGGTTCCACACCTTCCCCTATTCAAGAACATCTCTACACAAGTGTATATAATAGCTCATTAACCCTTTTTTATTTTGTGTATGTGAGGTTTACCTTCAAATTCATCGTGTGCATTCCGTTTCTTTTTCCGTCCTGGCAGAGTCAAAGAAGTACAAGGCTGTTGTCATTCGAATTGATAGCCCTGGGGGTGATGCACTTGCATCTGACCTGTGAGTTATTTTCCACAACGGTCCTTTTCCTTCTTTGAACTAAAATGCATAAAAGTAATTTCACTGCTTACTTCTCCTTGGCAAGTGACTGAAGGAGCCTAAAAGTGAACAGTTACGATAAGGTTTACTATCTCGGTCTAAAAAAGAGTCTTGCTTGTATAATTGATATGAATATTACAAGCATGATCCTCTTTATTTCTTGAATATTTTTTTATTGCAGAATGTGGAGGGAGATCAGACTTTTGGCAGAGACTAAACCTGTAATTGCATCCATGGCTGATGTGGCAGCTAGCGGTGGATACTATATGGCCATGGGCGCAAAGGCTATTGTGGCAGAAAACCTTACATTGACTGGCTCGATTGGAGTTGTGACAGGTGAAACTAACTACTAAAACTGCTCGTTTGTAAATATTTTAGCTCAATCTAAATGAAATGAAGGAAGAAAATGACTGGGCTGTTTAATAAGGTAAAAAGAAATTTATTTCAGTGTTCTTCAAGTACAATGACCCATATCAGGTTTCTATATGAAGTGGGAAGTGTATCTCATCAACCCTGTTATTTCCAGTATCTGCCTATAATTGGTACTATCTGATGGAAATTTCTGTTGATCTATGAAACAAAACGGTGCACCACAATTTTTTTGATGCATAGGGAGATTCTATGTGAGTGCTCTAATGTATTCTCCAAGTGGATAAGAAGGGAATTTGTTCCCAGAAATGATTGCACCAAAAGGATAGTTAAATAAGATCTACTTACAGGTCGTATAACATAGTGTTTTTATATAGATAGTATTACATATAAATTCATGGCCTAGTGTAAGAGGAGCCCAAAAGGTTTTTGGTTAGAGAATTACGAAAGCATCAACGGATTCAATCATATTTTTGGATATTGTAACTTCCTTGGTCTTGAGCCGTTTTCTATATGGTACCTTGTGTTATTTTCAAGTAGCTGGGGTTTTCCAGAGAATTTCACTCATAAAATAGAAGTATATTAGCAAATGTGGGTAGGCCAGGGCCTGGGTTGGCCCCTAGCTACAACAATGCCTTGCAACACCTTTCAAGATTTGCTATGCGATACTTTTATCATGAAACTTTTTATGGTGAGTGCTATACTGCTATTTCCAATAATCTATATCTTTTCATTGTCTTTCTTTTGGAGCATTGTGCAGTATGAAGTCCTCTAGTTGCCTTTTTCCTTTCCACAACAGTTTGTGTCTTTGCATGTCATTTTCAGTGCTGCTTGGTGTTTGGTAGGTTGGAATCCGGTCACTTTCCCAAGAAAATAATTCACCCTTCACCTATCTACTTTCAAGTGTGGGTGGAATGTGTCAAATGTAGCTTTAAAATAACTCACTTTCCATTGAAAGTAAATTGCAATGGGGAGATGAGAAAGAGGTCTGATGTAATACTTGGGTAATTTAAAGGGATTAATAGTACTACTCATACCAACAAAGGTGCATCTCCTTTTAAGGGAGCTCATCTACTAAGAACTTCAAAGTGGGCAGAAAAAGGCTAGTGGCGGTTTGTGAGGGCAGTACTAGAAGTCTGGAGTAACTACTTCGGGTCCTGCGGGATCGGGGTGTTACATCTGACCTGAAGTTTTTTTGTTTCCTTTTCTCCTTTCTACGTAATCGCTTACTGCTTCGAATATCTGATTCACTTCACTTTATTCCTTCCACAAATGTCAATATGCGTTTACAAGGTTGCCTATGCAATAAAAAGTTGGGGGCTTGTCGATATAGTGCAGGAAAAGGCTAGTGGCGGTTTGTGAGGACAGTACTAGAGGTATGGAGTAACTACCTCGGATCCTGCGGGGCCGGGGTGTTACATCTGACCTGAAGTCTTTTTGTTTCCTTTTCTCCTTTCTACAAAATCGCTTACTGCTTCGAATATCTGATTCACTTCACTTTATTCCTTCCATAAATGTCAATATACGTTTACAAGGCTGCCTATGCAATAAAAAGTTGGGAGCTTGTTGATATAGAGCAGGAGCTCGATAAGAACACAGAAATCTGACGATGATTTGTTGTAATATGAAAACTGAAATTGAAGAATCCGGAAGTAACGATACAGTTGAGGCAAGTTCGAGAGTGCCTAGTCTCTCCCAGTCCTAATCCCCAATCCAAATTCTGCCTACCTTCTTATTTCTCCCTCCCTTCTATTTATACTTACTAATGGGCCAACCCAAAACTAACTAGTACCTGGCCCAGGTTCCTTTAATACACTATCACAATTCACAATTATTTAATATACTTCTATTATTATTAGTATTATTATACTAATGGGTTCCTATCATATCTCCCCCCTTAGACAAACACCTTGTCCTCAAGGTGGGTGATAGGAACCGGCCTGGACTTTCAGCTTTATCTTCATCCTTGCGCCTCTTCCTTCCCAATACCTCACTGCTTGCTGAACCAGAAGCTTCAGTACTTGTTCCTTCAAAATCACAAATGCTGCTGCTGTAGAAGATATGTCGAGTGCAGTTTTATTTGTTGAGGTATCCTTCGAGCACTCACTAGTCACTAGCTACAAGTGTTTCCCTGTTCTCATGAGACTCCTCAAGGATTATAACTTCTGAAACTATCAATGTGCTGGATGCAGATTTGATGTTAGTCATGTTACTCAAGTTACTCAATTCATTGTCTGCAACAAGCCCTATGCAAAGTTCTCCATTTTTCATCCACTTTTCTGTACGGCAGCTAGTATCAATGACAGAATTACTTGTAATAGCAAGATTTGTCTCATAAAACTTCAACAGCTGACAGTAGTTGTGCACAACAGTGCTGTCATGCGATTTCAGTCCCAAATCTGAGTCCCAAATCTGAGAATTTTTCTTCTTTCCTTTCCCCTATAGGCTGAAACCCCAGTGATGGAGGTAACTGATTAGCAAAGCCACGCCCAGAACCCTTGCTTCCTCTTCCATCCGTGTAGAAGCTGTTGATTCCCTGAAGCTTCTTTCCATCATTCTCCTCTTCTATTTCCTCAGTTTCCTTTCCTTTATACTGATAGTCCTTGTAGAACTTTCCCAAATATTCGAAACAACATTTTTATTAAGGGCAGATTCATATTCCCCTGCAACTCTACCAAAAACCGAGTTGAAGAATTTCATAGAACCTTGAGAAACATCAGAAACTGGGCATCCAAGAGAAACAGGAACCACAGTTGTGTCAATTTCAGGTCCAGCGACTACAGACAATTTCTCCTCATTTTCATTGTCGCCATCAGTGAACTTCTCTGCTTTTTCTCCAAATTGCGAAGCACTCCTATCATCAGAGGAAAGGTGCAACATGTTAACAGACTCGAAAAGGAGCGGTGAAGCTTGCCAAGTGTGAGAATCCTCGGGCGATGGAGCTAGCGCATCAGAGGAAAGGTGCAACATGTTAACTTCTCTGCTTCATCTCTGCTATATTCCGTTCCAGAGCCTGCATGCGAAACTCCATTTTACAGTTTCCCCTTCATCTCTGCTATATTCCGTTCCAGTGTCTGCATGCGAAACTCCATTTTCGCTCTTGTTCTTACCATCCACTACAGAACGTAAGTGTTGCTGAGGTCGCCAATCAATTCTGATCACCAGGAGCTAGTGCTCTGATACCATTGATAAGAACACATAATTTTGACGATGAATTGTTGTAATATGAAAACTGAAATTGAAGAATCCGGAAGTAACGATATAGTTGAGGCAAGTTCGAGAGTGCCTAGTCTCCCCAGTCCTAATCCCAAATCCAAAATCTGCCTACCTTCTTATTTCTCCCTCCCTTCTATTTATACTTACTTATGGGCCAGCCCAAAACTAGACTGAGTATATGGAGTGCAAGTTCGGTGGAGGTAGAAGCGGTAGCAACAGTGGGATTACTCTTGATGGTAAAGAGATACCGGTGTGTGATATGTTCCATTACTTGGGATCCATAATTTAGAAGGATGGTGAATTAGATGTAGATGTATGTCATAGAATCAGAGCTGGGTGGATGAAATGGAAAAGTGCTTCAGGATTTCTATGCGATCGAGGTATGCCGACTAAATTGAAAGGTAAATTTTATCGTACAGTAATTAGGCCGGCATTAATGTATGGCGTAGAGTGTTGGGCGGTGAAGCAATGCGACATTCAAAAAGATGAGTGTGACAGAGATGCGTATGTTGCATTGGATGTGTGGACATACTAGAAAAGACCGCTTGAGGAATGAGGTAATCAGACAAAAGGTGGGAGTAGCACCTACAGAAGATAAGATGCATGAGTCTCGTTTGCGGTGGTTTGGGCATGTGCATAGAAGATCGAGTGATGCACCTGTTAGACGACTTGAGGGGTGGGGAGAAGAGTCAGAGAAGAGAGGGAGGGGAAGACCCAAACAGACTTGGATTAGAGTAATCAGAACTGATATGCGTCTTCTTGGGTTGGATGAGAGTATGGCTTTGGAGAGAGCAAAGTAGAGGGTGCACATCCATGTGGACGATTGATGTCTTGTCTACCTTTCCTCTCTTGTTTCTTTTATCGTTTATCTTCCTTATCTTTTTATATTCTTATGTTATTTTTATCTTCTAGCTTTTTTATGCTCTTTTATTTATTTTTCTTTTATCTTGGTTATATTCTTGTGTTATTGTTATCTTATATTTATGTGTCTTTATTTTATTCATTTTATCTTACTTTTTTTTTCCTTTTCTTGTCCGCCTTCTCTTTTTGGCATCGATATCATAGATCGATTCATGTTAGTCGACCCCAAATTCTTTTGGGATTAAGGCTTGTATGTTGTTGTTGTTGTTGTATGGGCCAGCCCAAAACTAACTAGTACCTGGCCCAGGACCCTTTAATACACTATCACAATTCACAATTATTTAATATACTTCTATTAGTATTAGTATTATTATACTAATGGGTTCGTATCAGAGCTCGGCTTGGAGGAAGAGAGGTTGAGGGCCTTATCGGTTTACCAAAGGCAGGGGCGAGCTTGAACCCACCTTCGTGGGCTGACTGTTGGCTGGTTTTAGTTTTACTTATTTTACTTTTTTTGTTATGTTTTCTGATTTGGGTCTGTAATTAGTAGAGTATTTAAATACCTAATTACACTTTGATCTCGATTAGGATTTTTGTTTTGGGTCTGTTATGAGAAGGGTATTTAAACCCCTAATAAGGGTTCAGTCTTGTTTATCAATTAATAAAATTGGATGTCAGTCTATTGGCTTTAGGCAACAGTTTCTTCTGTTGATTATTACTCTTCTGTTCTCAGCAATTGGCCTGACCTGCCGGATCCGTTCCCGCTGGAATGACAAGGTCAAACAATGATTGTTTGACAGAGGTGGAGGCCGAGTAGGCCTTGATGAATGAGAAACTCGACGCGCAAGGGCAGAAACTCGACGTGCAAGGGCAGAAGCTGGACGCGCAAGGCATCCAACTGGCGGAGATCGCAGCCTCCCTGGCTGCGTTCACGAAGGCACTCAGTCACTCACGCCGCCGGATACTGAGGAGCCATCAGCGGCGTCGTTCTCCAGGTCTGCGGTGTCAGCGCACACCTGTGACGGCGGTTCGCGCAGCACAACACTCACCTTGCTGCCCTCTTTCGATGGCGAAGACCTGATTGGATGGATCGCTAGGGCTAAACAACAGTTTGAACTAAACCAGACCCCACTCAAAAGACAGGTGGCAACAGCTGTTGTCGTCATGGAAGGGGCTGCCTTGTATTGGTTGACCTGGTTGAAGGCGCGGAAGCCAGACATGACTAGGGAGGACATCACGCAAGCACTGGTGGTGCGATTCGACATCCCGGTTCAAAGGCAGTCGGTTCGAACGGCTGTCCGGTGTCAGGCAGATGGGGACATTGGAGGAATACAACACACTTTTCGTTCAATTGGCCAGTCAAGTTCCAGGATTGTCCGATGATCACTATTTCATAAATGGGCGAAAATGACCGATCCGGGGTTCTTTACGTCTGTTGTGTCTGGATTATTTGGAGACGGCAATGGAATTGGTCAGGGATATTGAGGATAATCTGTCTTTTGAGAATGGAAGTCGAGGGATCCAATCATACAATAATGCGTGGACGCGTTTGGGCAGTTTATCTTGATTGAGTTTGTGTCATAACACGACCGCAAGTGGTGGCACCATGCGGGGGTCGAGTGGCAGCTTTCCTAAGGATACTAGGCTGCCCACGGGGACAAATTCGGAGCTGTCCGGGCCATACTTGTCACGGCGGTAAGGCGAGTCGCGTCGCCAGCCAACCCGCCATATTGCCTAGGCAACAAGGCGCCCGCCTAGGTGACAATTAGGCAACTAGTATAATTATATACACAATTATATATATAATTATAATATACGGAGTATTTATATTTATATAAGATATATAAGGTTTTATTGAACTATATTTAATTTGTAATTTATTATATATTATATATGATATATTACTAATTAAATTGTATATTACTTATGCTATATTGTATAATAATTGTATAATAAGTATGAATGTACTTTACAAAAAGTTAAACTACATAAAGTCTAATAGTTTATTAATTTCTACAAGTAACATACAATAATAGTACCCAACAGCCTATGCTCTCAGCCTCTAATTTTATGTGTGTGTACTTTGTATATATATACTCTGCATATATATACAAATATATCGGCTAGACAATAATAGATGGGCACCTGGTACGTTCGTCTACGCAAGGGAGTGCAACTTTGGGAGTTCTATGCTTTTGTCTTCTTCCTACGAGTCTGGGTCTCTAGACTCTGCGTCTTCACGGTCTTCTAAAATCACTTTGCTTTGTTTTTAATTAAAACCCTAAAGCCTTAAATCGTTGACTGCGGTTAGACTGGCCAAAATCAGCGATGCCTTATCGCCAAAGCACGCCTGGACGACGCCGCCATGGTCAGCTTCTCTTCTTCTGGCGAGGGAACCTGGCGACCACTCCCTAGCGCCAGGACGCCTAGTCGTTGACTAGGTGACGCCTAGACGATGCCGTGACAAGTATGGTCCGGGCAGCCCATGGGAACGAATTCGGGGCTGTCTTGGCAGCCTACTGCATGTTCCAGGTACACTCGACTTTTGTCGAAGGTGTTAGAAGAATTGCAGGGAAAAGGATTATGGTTTAGGTGTAATTCACCATTTACACCAGGGCATGACTGCCCATTTAAGCCGTTACGGGTAATGATAGCTGAAGAGGACGAGGAGTTGGACCTCCAACAACATGATTATTGTGAGATAATTGGCCAGGAAAAAGTTCAGGAAGATCAGGGGGGTTCGGAAAGAGATGGGGTCATGGGGGAGATTTTCCAGTCTATTCTATGTCTGGAATTTTCAGCCAACTATGAGACTTTGAGAGGTGGTAGCGGGATGCACAATGACCATTCTGATAGACAGTGGCGCAAGCCACAACTTTATTTCTTCATCCTTGGTCTTCGTATTACGATTGCATCTAGACAAGACAGACAGATTTGGGGGGGGATTTGGGGTTCAGCTGGGAGATGGGCATAGATAAGTGTCAGAGGGGGTGTGTAGACAACTTCCTATCTCATTACCAGAGTGTGCTGTTAAGGCAGATTGCTATGTGTTTGCCTTGGGCGAGGTTGACATTATTTTGGGAGTGGCTTGGTTGTCCACATTGGGAGAAGTATGGACAAATTGGGAAGCATTGACTATGAATTTCGAGTGGGGTGGTAATCGAGTTGAGTTAAGGGGTGACCCGGCGATTAATAAAGAGAGGTGTCCCTTTGGGTGTCTCAAGGTCGAATACTTGGGGCGATCCAGTGATAATGCTAATTGGATGAGTAAGGAGAGTTTTGTGAGCAAGTTTCTAGATTTCAACCTTGATGACAAAGTTGTTTCGAAGGGGGATGAAATTGATATAGAGCAGAAGCTCGACTTGGAGGAAGAGAGGTCTAGGCCCCTGTGGGTTTACCGAAGACGGGGATGGGCTTGAGCCCACCTTCGTGGGCTAGCTGTTGGCTGGGGTTGTAGTTTTACATTATTATCATTTTTCTGTTATGTTTTCTAATTTGGGCCTGTTATTAGTAGAGTATTTGAGTACCTAATTAGAGTTTACTTAATTTGGGCTCAGTTAGGATTTCTGTGTTGGGTCTATTATTAGAAGGGTATTTAAACCCCTAATTAGGGTTCAGTCTTGTTTATCAGTTAACAAAATTGGATTTAGCCTATTGGCTTTGGGCAACAGTTTCTACTTTTCTGTTCTCATCACTTTTTTATACTCGGTTCTTTGAGTCCTATCAGATGATTTTATCCTAATCGTAATTTTTCAGGAAAGTTTAACCTTAAGAGTTTATATGATAAGATTGGCTTCAACAAAGAAATTATATCAAGAGGTAGATTTGCAGAGCTTACTGCTGCTGATCAGCGACCATTCAGGTGAATCTCTAAGAAATTTGCTGGTGAGGGACACCATAAAGTTGTGGATAATAAATGATTTGCGCACGTTTAATACGTCTTATTCGGTCCTTGAAATCCACAGAACAGGCACCTAGAATTCTAGAAATTTGTGATGCTCACCTTTCTCACATGTCCTATATTTATTCCTTCCTAAAAAACTGTGACAGGAAGGCCATCTGATTTAGACTTTGTCACTACACTATTTACTACATAATTAATGGTGTTAACTCAATTTAGACAATTAGTGGATGCAATAAATACCCCAACATATTCGGAATTTGGGATTCTGCTGATGACCCTTTTCATCCTATGACGTAGCTACCTCGATAATGGTTGCTTCAAATAGAGTTCAGGTCACTTTTTCGTGTGGCATCTTCCATTGTGAGTAACAGCCAATTTTCATTTCTTGTGTAGTTCTGATGAAGCAGAATTATTTCAGAAATCTGCACAGAATGCATACGAACGATTCCGAGACAAGGCAGCGTTTTCAAGATCAATGAATGTATGGTATTTGATGCAGCCATCAGAATAGCATTCAACTACCTCAATTTTGTGTGCTATTAAATAGCCATCATTCATCCAGGTAGACAAAATGGAAGAGGTTGCACAAGGGAGGGTTTGGACGGGTAAGGATGCTGTCAAACGTGGCCTTATTGATGCAATCGGTGGCATTTCTCGTGCGATCGCAATAGCAAAGCAAAAGGCCAACATACCCCAGGAAAGACAGGTCAGTTGGTCTGTCCATTATCCTAGAGTGTTGCTCGTACATCTTTTATACTATGCAGTATATACTCCCTCCGTCCCATAAAGTTCTTCCCACTTTTTCTCATTTCCTCTTTGGAAAGTTTTGTGTGGCTACCATTCATTTACGTTTTTCTTATTTAACCACAACCATACAGTTTCACTTTATTCCCACTTTCTTAAACTCTGAGCCAAGTCAAATTGGGAAGAATTTTATTGGACGGAGAGAGTAGTTTAGAGAAGGTTACCTAATTAGGAGCAGAACGTGATAAATTTTCTCAAATAGGAGTAACATTGTTTTCTTCACGGGATAGGAATCATTGGACTTGTGCACCCCACCCCCCACCCCCTATTTCAGTAAGAAAAAATATCCTCTTTTAGAACTTTGCATATGTTTTACTCCTATTTTGAGCAATTAATTGTATAATTAATTCCTAGTTATCAACAATATAGTTATGATAAGTGAATTTTTTTGACTGTGTTTGCTGAACTGGTTAAAAATAGAAAAATCGTTATGGAGAAGTGGAGAGGGATGTGGATACTTTTTTGGCGGAGGTTGCTGACTTTTGTCATTTTATCTTCTTTTTTCCATTATTTCTTCCAATAAAATGGATTTGATTTTTTTTTTTGAAAATTCTGTTTTTTAATCATAAATATTAGCAAGTTCAAAAATTTGAACCAAATTCACCTTACAGACTGGGCTTAATATAATTACAAATTTACTAGACATTAATTAAAGTGAGATTACTACACAGTTTTATTTTGAGCTGTATATTAACACAGCAGGTCTCGTCTCTCGTGAGATTACATTACTTTAGGGACATTTGTAATACTGTCGAGCATGCCAATTGCAAAAGAATTACAATGTCATTATGAGGCCGTCTCATGGATTTATTTGTCATATCAAGAGCATGTTTGGTAACCTTGTTTTGGCTTAAACATCTCTCTGATCAGATTTGCTTGGCTGAAACATAAATTTTTGTTTTTGTTTTTGGGAGTGAAGGTTGATGTTGTTGAGATGTCAAGGCCTTCTCCATCATTGCCAGAGATATTGAGTGGGGTAGGAAACAGTATAGCTGGAGCGGACAGGAGCATAAAAGCATTGCTGAGCGAGATGGCGGCAGCATCGTCCGACGGATTCCAAGCCCGCATGGACGGAATCTTGTTTGAGAGATGGGAAGAAGCTTCTGCTGCTCATGGAAATCCATTGCTCATGTTGATCAAAGATTGCCTCTCTTCTTTCTAAATATGTTCTAGTTAACATCTATCATTTGTCAAAATATTTGTCAATTTATCTCTCGCTTCACGTTTCTGTAGCAGCAGACCTCTAACACCCCCACCCATCACAAGTTGTCCACCTACATCAAAGCGCCAAACGGCTGCAATCAAGCATCTCAAACGATTAACTCTGTGTAATTAAGCTTTGGTTAACTCATAGATAATTTTACAAAAATCAAATTTCAAGAAAATTGTGAACTAGAGTTAAAAGTATCAAGGTAAATAATGATCTACTAATCTCTATGTGAAATATAATAAACGCAACACAAAATTTACTAATTGACTTTTTGTATGAAAAGTCATGTACTAATATTGTGAAGACAACCATAAATCGCACATCACAAATGCTAGCTGTACGCCTGTACATTCATTTAAAGAGAGGATCACCTTCAAGGTTGGCCACAGATGAAAAGTCATTTTTACCTAAACACAAGTTCATAATCATTGATAATTTTAATCAGATAGAAACAGTGGATATCCTAACAAAACAAACAACATAGCTTTCGTCCACTCAACCAAAAACAAATACAAAATGTATATGAATGCAACTAAAAATTTGTACTATTGCCTTCTTTAGGTAGCATTTAAAATTCAAAGAGTCTCAAATTCCAAACCTTCTCTATAGCAATTGTCAACTCCCACCGGCTCCTCTAGTCCTCTGTGCCAACCTCCATCCCCATGACCCCAACCCCTGGCCCAGCTCCACTCCTTTACCGATGCTTTTATGAATGTTGTAACTTTGTAAAGTTATGTTTGTACAGTGAAAGGTATGAATTGACTATACAAACATAGCATAAAGTACTTTGACCCAATTTTAATTGCTTTAAGAATAAATTCTTGAGAAAACAAGGACACAACTTCTCAGAAATTTATAATCCTTCACACTTCACAGTAGAATGGCATTTACTAAATATGAATATAAATATAAGACTTTTAAAGAATATATTACTGAAATATGTGGCTTGTAACCGAAAGCTTTTGCGAATTGCGATCCATAATTCCATATGGAACAAATTCAAGCGGTGGCACGGTCCAGCGTCGTCTAGGATAAGTTTTGGGTTGTGGTGGAGTTTTTTCACCCGCTACAGGTAGGGATGGACCCAGATCGAGCCAGGCTTAAACAATATTGGTCTCGGGTCGGGCCGCCTGGGCCCACTCCATCCCTAGCGATAGGGGTTAGAGTTATCGTTTCTCGATTTTGCTAGTGTTAATCTTGGGAAATGGGTATTGTATGTTGGAATTATCGGAGATTTGGCAATTTGGCAACCATACTTAGTGTTGGCAGACTTGGTCCGAACGAGGAAGCCGACGATGTTGTTTCTTATGAAGACTAAGATGCATGGAGATAGATTTGAAACATTGAGAAGCATGCTGGGCTTCCAAAAATGCTTTGTAATGGAGAGTTTGGGACAAAGTGGAAGACTATGTTTTTTGTGGAGAGAGGAGGTTACTTTACAGGCTACATCATCTTCAGCAAATTATGTTGATTGCCTGATTTGGCTAGCGGAAGATGAACCAGAGTGGCGCTTCATGGATTACTATGGGTTCACAGACGTAGGGACTCGTGCCAATTAGGTTTTTATTTGGACCGTAATTCGTCCCAGACCAATCTGATCAGACTAAAACAGACTAGATCAGATTAGACCAGATCATATATTATTATTATTATTATTATTATTATTATTATTATTATTATTAATATCATTATTATTATTATTATTATTATTATTATCATCATCATCATCATTCGTCATCGTCGTCATCATAATCATCATCATCATTGTTATTGTTATTATTATTAGTATTATTACTATTATCACTATTATTATTTTTAATTATAAATGAATAAAATATAATTATTTATGGATTATAATATATTTAAAAAATAAAATCTTTATGCAAAAAATATAAAAAATAAAATTTCAGACCAGATCAGACTAAAACAGAACAGACCAGACCAGATCAGCAAATTACTGTCCAAGTAAAAACATCCTTGCTCAGGCAGCTCTCAAGAAAGTATGTGGCTTGTAATTGGGGATTTCAACCATGTTTGACAATGAGCGTAGAGGATGATTCCCTCAACCAAAGTTGGTATATGAGGAGATTTTGAGAGGCCATCTGGAAATGTGGATTAGGAAATATACAATTTGAGTGTTATCAGTGGACATGGGAGCGGGACAACGGAACACCCTAGTGGATAAATGAAAATTTAGACAGAATAATAGCCAATGAAGGGTGGCAGGATATTTTGAGTGAGATTTTTGACACCTCTTTGGAGGGCCCATTGAGTGATCATTTGATCTTACATATAAGGTTTAATAGCCTGGGAAGACAATGGAGGAGGAAAATGTTTAAGTTTGAGAATATATGGTTGAAAGGTGAAGCGTGTCGAGATGTAGTCCAACGTAGTTGGCAAAAGCAACCAAATAACACAATCTGGTCAAGAATTTTATGGCTGTGAGCTAGAAATATGGAGCGATCAGTGCAAGGTCGGTTTTCTGACCCACATTGATTTTTATTCGAAACGGCTGGTTTCTTTGTGGAACATAGATGGGCGTAGGTATGATGCAGAGTTTCAAAGGGTAAAGTCTTGTTTAGTGCATTTGTTGCAGCAGCAAAACACCTTTTGAAAGAAAATAGCTAAAGAATTTTGGTTGAAAGAGGGTGATATTAATACAAAGTATTTTCATAATGCGATTAAACAAAGGCATAGGAGAAATAGAATGGTTGGGCTTACGACGGATAAGGTATTTGTGTTACAGATAGAGATGAGCTGGGTACAATGAGTTGTCTGCCTCAGAAAGAGATAGGGAGGAGTGTGTTGAATTACAAGGTCTGACAATGGTGTCCACAGTGCAAAATGCCAGTCTACTCAGATCGATTACTTTGAGCGAGGTTAGAAATGCGGTTTTTGGATGCACCCTGATAATGCCTTTGGTCTGGATGGACTAAATCCTGGTTTTTTCCAACACTAATATATTAGGGTCCGATGTTACTTGATGTTGTCATGAGATTATTGAGGATGGTCGACTTTCGGTGGAGGTAAACTTCACTAATATTGTGCTGATTCCCAAGAAAGATAAACCAGATGGGATGGGAGATTGGCGCTCTATAGCTCCCTGTACGGTAATTTATAAGATTTTGTCTAAACTTTTGGCTCTTCGCTTGAAAGTGATTTCGAATCAATTAGTGTCACTAAACCAAAGTGCTTTTATACCCAGGATGGGAGATCAATAGTTGATAATATTATGACTGCCTTTGAAACCCATCATTACCTTAAGAGGAAAACACAAGGTAGAGAGGGATTTGCAGCTCTCAGACTTGACATGAGCAAAGCATATGATAGGGTGGAATGATCTTTTTTGTTCAAGGTGATAGAATCTATGAATTTCTCTCCAAGATGGATTCAGTTGATTAAGGAGTGTGTGACAAGTGTCGAGTACCAGATTCCTTTTGACAATTCTGTTCTAGGCCTGGTGGTGCCACGACGTGGGTTAAGGCACGGAGATCCCCTCTTCTCGTATTTGTTTATACTTATTGCAGAAGACCTTAGTTTGTTAATCAGGAAGAGCGAGAAGTTGGGAAAGGTACATGGAATCTTGGTGGCAAAGGGAGCTCCAAGGGTTTCACATTTGTTATTTGCAAATGCTAATTTTTTGTTCTTTAAAGCTCGGGAAGATGAGTGCAATGTGATTAAATGTGTTCTTTATACCCATGCTTTGGTCTCGAGACAGAAAGTTAATCTCTCAAAATCTGTTATTTCATTTAGTGCAAATGTACGCGCTAGCATGAAGAAAATTATTAGTAATATTTTAGAAGTATCTCAAGAAGGCACGGTCTCCAGGTACCTAGGTCTGTCGGCGCTAATCGGAATGCATAAAATTGAAATCCTAGGTTTCCTGCAGGAGAGTATTGTAATAAAGTTCAAGAATGGAATAACAACTTTTTATCAAAGGCGGGAAGGAAGGTCTTATTAAAAACGGTTATTCAGCTATGCCCTCGTATGCGATGAACGTTTTCTTAATGGCGCCTTTGACCTTATCGCAGAAATTGAAAAAATAATGAATTTGTATTGGTGGAGGGGGAGGGACTAGATGGGGGGTTGGCAAGAGATGTGTAAACCTAAGATGTTTCATTAGGGAGCAATCCCTCATTCTTCATCTAGAGAAGTGTGTTGGAAGATGAGAGTGTCATTGAGGAGGGCACCAAAAGACGGGTAGGTAATGGGAGAGACATCTCCGTATGGACAATGGAGAGATTGCAGACTTCGCGGAGGAGGGGAAGCAATTTCACTTGTTTAAAGAGTGCTCGGTCGGCTATGTCTGAAGTTTGGAGCAAATTTTGGAAGTAGCTTTATACGCAAGCAGCCTTGTTTCAGGAGTGGGTGCTACAACTTATTGAAAAGGTAACGCATGAAAAATTGTGTATTTTTATTACTTTGTTATGGAGTATATAGAAGAGCAGAAGTGATAGAGTATGTAAGGAGGTGCATCAGCTCTTGGGAGTTAGAGGGTCACAACAACAAAAAGTTGCAGCAGAAGAAGCAAAACCAAGGCGGCGTAGGACTGAAGCACAAAAATAAACTTGGACGGGTAGCTGAAGATGGTCAGGGCAGCTTCAGCATAGGTGGATGGGAAACTCGAACAACTTACTGATCCATTAACGGAAGCTAGTTTCTTTGGCAGCCCTTTCACGAGCGGATGACAAGTCTATTTTTTTGGCTTGTCGAATGATAATTGGTTTTAATGAAAGTTGGTGGTTTACACTTTGCATTTAGGGAGAAAAAAAAGATACTGAATTGAAACATATTTATAAAAATATAACTAATAGGTACTAAAATGTAAAGTAGTCTCATACTTACTTATATGTAAAACTATATGTAAATGTGTAAACATATAAATGTAAATGTAAATGTAAGTATAAAAAATATAAATATAAATATAATAAAAAACAACCTTAAAATTCAGTTTAATCTGTCAACCACGTCCTTAGTTTCATTCAGACACTCTCCTTTGCTTGTAGGAAGTAGATTGACAAAATAGAAAATTCCTCAAATAGAATTCAAATGTGTGTGTAAATAGGATTATATTATTTTTAGAAATTGTTTGGCGTACACTTTTTAGGTGTACATAAAAAAAGTGTACACCAAGCATGACTCTTATATTTATCTAAAATATGACTCATTCACCAATAACTTTCCATACTTTTGATATGACCATTTAAGTCCTAATACTTAAAAATAGGAGTTTTATCAATCTGGAACCTTAAAGATGGATGAATTATCAATTCGAAATCCGAAAGATAAAATGTATCGTTATAAGATCCGAATGATGAAAAATTGTCAATCTATGACCTATAATTTCATAGGTTTTGATTTATTTATTTTTTATTAATTCCATTGCTAATATTTGATGATTTTTTATTCACAAAAGTTTATTAGTTTAATAAAATTAAATAATATTTAATTTTTTTAAAATAATTTTTTTTTATGAAAACGTAGGACCTATATTGCAAGTTTTCAATCATTCAGGTCATAAATTGACAGTTTTCATCATTCGGGGCCTATATCGATACATTTTATCTTTCGGGTCCCGGATTGATAATTAGTCTATTTTCACGTCCTAAATTGATAAAAATCTTTAAAAATATGAGTAAAATATAGGGGAAAATAATTTTAATACCCTAAACATTTGAGGAATGTGAGTTAAGCACCCCAAACTTACATATATAATGTAATTATCTCGAATTGTATTTAAAAAATTATCTTTAACATCATGATAGTATATTTTTCTTTCACAAATGTAAATTTATAGTGTTAAAAAAAGTGTTAAGTAAATAATTTAAATATTCTAAGCATTTGTTAGTGTGCAGTTATCAATATAAACTTATTTGTTAATGTTATTTATTTCAAATATTTAAGTTTAGATTAAAAATTTCATCCTTATAAATGCCGAAAATATTTTAAATTTTATATTTTAACACTTTAAATTTACATTTGTAAAAGAAGATGGTGTTAAGATAAATTTTTATATAAACTTTGATATATTTTTATTACATATGCAAATTTGGAATTCTTACCTCATACCTCCTAAAAGTTTGAGGTACTTAAATTATGCTTCCCTAAAATAGATGTGTACGTTGTCCAATTTGTCAATATTTAGTTTTCAAAATGTTTTTGCTTATAATGATTTTAGTCCTAAACCAGGCTTAAATGCATCAGATTAAACTAGAATCGATCAAACACAAATAAATTAGACTAGAACAAAAACTTTGAGTCATACTAAAAATATCCTCAATTTCCTTTTCGAGTCGAATTAAAATTTTTTTGAGCGGGGTTCGTTGTACAATTCTTACTTGAACTGAAATTTGCTGGTCTGACCTGGTCTGATATGTTTAAGTGTGATCTGGTCTAACTGGTCTGCTTTGGTCTGTGTATTTCATATCTAAAAACTGTCTAAATAAAAATAGGGAAAAATAATTTCAATACTTCAAACTTTAAAGAAGTGTGATGTTAATACCCCAAACTTGCATATCTAATTTAAGTATCTCAAACTTTATATAAAAAGTTTTTAGCATCTAACATTCTCTCCCACCATCCAAGCATAGGAACCTGCACAACAACGCATCTAACATTCTCTCCCACCATCCAAGCAGTATGCTCGTCCTTCTCTCTAGGGTTGCCGCAAGGTAACCTCTAGCTTGGATTTGTCCGCTATCGGCCTTTGCCGAGGAGCGGGGCTAGGGGTTTCCGGTCAATTTGTTGGAATTGAAGAGTCTTCTCTATAGTGGTCATCTCCCTACGAGTTAGGGTTTTGTTTCTTCCGCTTTTTTCATCGACGAAGAGCGGTCGACGATCGTTTTCGATCGTGCAAGCAGGCTCGGGACCAGGGATGCAGTGCTATGGCGACCAGGGCTCGACTTCTGCTGTTGTTTCTGGTCGAAGGTCGAGTGTTGACAAAGAAAAGGTGGATAAGCTCTGACAGAGTATGGTTTCGATTCAGCAACAAGGGATGGCAAAAGAGGATATCGTCATTCACTACAAAAGCATGACTATAGAGGCGGATGAGCGGCGGGCGCGTCCCCCTCCTAAGCCGCCGCCATGGATGGCAAGCAAGTCTAGGGTTTGGAAGAAGATGAGTAAACGCTGTTCTAATTCAGTTTTATTCTGTTTGTGTTTTTATTTAGAATTGCACGTTGTTTTGGATTTTTTCTTATTTTCTAGGCGAGAGTTTCTAGATTTTAAGCCAGGTAATGAGAAGTCTGGTTTGCTCCCCTAAAATAGATGTGTACGTTGTCCAATTTGTCAATATTTAGTTTTCAAAATGTTTTTGCTTATAATGATTTTAGTCCTAAACCAGGCTTAAATGCATCAGATTAAACTAGAATCGATCAAACACAAACAAATTAGACAAGAACAAAAAATTTGAGTCATACTAAAAATATCCTCAATTTCTTTTTCGAGTCGAATTAAAATTTCTTTGAGCGTGGTTCGTTGTACAATTCTTACTTGAACTGAAATTTGCTGGTCTGACCTGGTCTGATATGTTTAAGTGTGATCTGGTCTAACTGGTCTGCTTTGGTCTGTGTATTTCATATCTAAAAATTGTCTAAATAAAAATAGGGAAAAATAATTTCAATACTTCAAACTTTAAAGAAGTGTGATGTTAATACCCCAAACTTGCATATCTAATTTAAATATCTCAAACTTTATATAAAAAGTTTTTAGCCTCATGTGCATATGTTGGTTTTTCAAAAATGTAAATTTATGGTATTAATTGCATAATTTAAAAAGTGTTTTTTGAATTATTAAGCGTTACAATTATATAGACTGAGGGTATGTAATATTATTTATTCACAATGAAAGTTTAGAATGTTAAGTATATCTTCACGAATGCTAAAATATTTTAAATTATACAATTAACACCATAAGTTTACATTTTGGAAGAAATAATATATATCCATGATGCTAAAAACTTCTTTTGTAGAGTTTGAAATATTTTAAATTATACGTAGTATATGAAAGTTACCCGCACGGGTAGCTCAGTTGGTCGAGTGGTGGGAAAATTGGACAAGTGACCAAGGTTCGAAACCCGCGGTGGCCGTGTGAAAGTTACAGAACCTCTGGTGTGCACGTGTATAAGGTCTACCGTCGCTTTGCTGACTGAGTCGATTAACCTCCGTCCTCCCCACCATCCTCTCGAATCGGGGTGGGGGTCTCGGGGTTGGCATTCAACCTTTTGACCAAATGAAAGTTTAGAATATTGACTTTACGGTCTTCAAAGTACGAAGTATTTGAATTATTTTTCTTATAAAAATATCCTAAATGTCTCTCTTATACTGTATTATCAGAAGTAGAAAATTTCTCAAAAAGAGAGATGAGTGCAATCTCAATTTCTGCTGCTCTGATCTGCGACCCTCGAATGGCCACGCTTGTCACTGTCCAGCACACTCTCGCAGCTGCTTGCTAGTCGCCTTCTATGGAGTCGTCCTCCAATATACTTTCAAACTCTGCCGCTTCCTCTGTTGCTCAAGCTCCCACTATGCGTCCCAAAGAAGAACAGGTTCCCGAATCCCCCCAGTGGGTATTCGCAGTTAACATTGATGGGGTGGCCTGATACGGTATTTGTATGTGTAGGAGGTGACGAGTGCCAATGCGAAAGAAGAGGTCAAGGAGAAGAAGGTGCCTGAAGAGAAAACGCCGAAAAGGAGCCCCATTGAGTAAGAAAATATATGCTGATCTTTTATGCATTTTGAATGTTTTCTGGTCTGGTTAGTGTTTCAGTGGCGATATTTAATTCCTTATTTCTCTAGATTCGGTTGATTTCCACCTTTTCATAGTTTGTTTTGTGTTAATTTCAAACAATTTTTTGTATAATGTGCTTGGATTTCCAAGGCAAAGAATCTGTAATATTTTGTTTCACTCCATTTTCCTTCTCTTTGCTCTAATTGTCAGTCAGTTTACATGAAAGTTTTATCCTTTATCTAAACAAAAATGGAAGGAAGGCAAAGAGGATAAAACTGTGGCGGTTTCCATAAACGGAAAGGGTTTTTCTTTTGAATGCTGCATTGTATTGTGGAAAGAAGCACTGTTACCAATAGCTATAACATAATTATTTGTTGAAAGGAATATGCAGGTAACATCTTAGTCTCTTAGTGGATTTGTAGACATGTAGTATAGTCAACAGTTGAAGACTTGAAGTATCTTCATGACTATATTAGATGGAAAGTTTTTTATATATAGGGAGCGAATCAGGTACAAATTGTGCTTATTGTGAAAACGTTTGTACAATGCATCTTTACGTTATTTGTATTGCATATTGAGATTCAAAGTGTTGCATATGATTCAGCCATAAAATAACAGTTGCATATTAACGTGCAAAGAGTTGCATACTAAAAAAGTTGGCTTTTATTACAAAAATGACACCGTGCCTTTATAATCTTTAGATCAACTCATCAGATGGTCAATATGAGTTTGTAGTTTGTAAATTAGGAAGGGTTTGTATTTGATCCCTTGTATATACATACTTACATACATAAATATACACACACAGACATACATACACACGTACATATACATGCATGCATGCATACATACATACATACATACATACATATGTATATATGTGTGTGTGTATATATATATATATATATATATATATATATATAGGGGTGAGATCACATACAAACCATGCTTAATTTACTAACCTACAAACTCAATAATATGCAACACTTTGAACTTCAATATGCAGTAAAAATAATGTAAAGATGCACTCTTTGAATTTCAATATGCAATACAAATAATGTAAATATGAAACTGTTATTTTATGACTTGAATAATATGAAACACTTTGAACTTCAATGTGCACTACAAATAATGTAAAGATGATTTGAATGGGAGGACTAGTTTGTATGTGACCCCACCCCTGCATCTTTATATTATTTTCACTGCATATTGAAGTTCAAAGTGATGCATATTATTGAATTTGTAGGTTAGTATTTTAAGCACGGTTTGTATTTGATCTCTTATCTATATATATACATACATATATATACATATATAGATTTAGGATCAAATGAGAACAACGCTTAACGTGAGAACACCACATTTACCCCAATATGATGCACAATGAGGCTCGTCCAATGCACATTTTCGTGTTCGGCATAGTATTTATCAAAATGCCACCATCATTATTTATATTGGTTTATTTGGAGCAAAGTCAAAATGTGCACCAGACGGGCTCTATTGTGTATCAGTGTATCACATTGGGTTAATTGTGAGTGTCTCACGTTCTCACGTTAAGCACCGTTCTCATTGGAACCGCACCCTACATACACACACATATATATAGGGGAGGGTTCTAGTGAGAATCCCTCTTAGAATAAGAACTCTTTAAAATGAGAACTTTTAATCTTTACCTTTCATTTATTGCAATCATTGGTTAAGATTCACATGGGGTCACATTCATAATTCCCTAAATTCAAATGGGGTTGTTTGCAATTAATTCTGAATAATTACAAAAATGACTCCTTGTCATTATTAGCCATTGATTGTAAAAATGAATGATGGAGATTAGAAGTTCTATTTTAAAAAGGGTTCTCATTCTAAGAGGGGTTCTCACAAGAACCCTCCCCTATATATATATGGGTTCTAAGGTTTAGACTATTGAATATTCTTGCAAAGGTTTGGGGTTGTAGTTTGTTTGGTGTGTGTTTACTTTGAGAGTCGCTTGTAAAAGTAGGCCATATGCCTTAGATGTACACATACTAATATAGATATAGGTGATAGATGATTTAGATTTATTTCTCCATTTCTGTAGTCATTTTCATTTTGCACCCTTGGTGAGTGCTGGAAACAAAGTCATTTGTGATATTATATACTTCCAGCATTTGAAATTTATAATGTTCTTGTCTACAATATGCTGCCCTGGTGAATTTTATAGGGAGTATCTAAAGTCTGTAGCTACCTTGGCATTTTCATTCAGGCTCTTAGAAGAGGCACATAATGAGAAGTTCAAGAGATATGAAGCTGAATGCACCCAATATTTAATGTCTAAGTACTTTTCAGACAAGACTATCTTTGGAGGTAAAGTTCTAAGGTCCAACTGGCAAATTATATCTTGGGATCGTTACACCTTCCGCAAGGTGCTTCCAACCCAAAATGGTGTAGTTTTAGTTTCGGTAAAATCTGCACAACCTCTTTCTTCTACACCGGCCTGTCAGTCGTCTCCTCCATCGATTTTTCTGGTTTCTTCTTCTCTGTTTTTTCTACTCTTCGATTCTCTTCTCCTTCTCCATAAAAATATTAAAAATAAAACCACGATTTTTCTCTTCTTCATCTTCAACCTAAATTACGAATAAATCTAGTTTTTTTCTTTATCCATTCATAACTGAAATTTTATTAATCTAAAACAAAAAGTCGTATTTATATTTGACAAATCTGCAACTTCTCTTCGAGCTCTGCCTTATATTTTTTTGTTCGTGTAATTTACATTTGATACAACAACAACATCCAAGCCTTAATCCCAAAAGATTTTGGGGTCGGCTAACATGAATCGATCCGTGATATCGATGCCAAAAAGGGAAGACTAAAATTCATCGTGTTCCTAAGTTACATCAAATCATTTTTTTATGCAATTTACATTTTTATCATATCATTTACACCAAAGATAATTTTTGTATTAGTGAATAATGTACATTTGCACAAAAGTCACTTGCATATTTAACAAACGAAGTTTGCATTTTGTGTAAGGTCATTTACACCAAATATTTGACTATATCTATAGATAGTACTCCGTATTACATTTACAAGTTATTTTTCATCAATCATAATATCATTTACACCAAATATACACTATTGATATTAATATCTCGTACACATTGTTTATATGTATTTACGCTTTTCATAACTGTATTTTCACAAAAGCATAACATGAGTTACACCAAACACTTTTGTACAAGAAGTCACACAACACTTACCCATACTTACACTGTTCCTGCTGCATGGGAGTACTGTGTGTACGGAGTGCCGATCCCACGGTTTAACCACTGTGTCCAACCATTTTCAACACAATATTAATTGTTCATTTTTGTTCATCTCCTATTTTTCAAACTTCCATGAATCTTTTACTGTGATATATTATGTCGACACTTCAAACCTTGTGATTAAAGTTAACTAGTATGGCTCATTGTATAGAAGGTTATATTAATATTATATTAACTGAATTAGCTTATGTTAATATTATACTTGTAGAATGAGGAGCCCCTCCCTGAGATTGTGTTTGGCTTGACTTTTGTGTTTACCTAGGAATTCTTTTATTTAAATAAGCTCTTTTTGCTCAACTCCGACTTTTTTGGTAACCTATGGAATAGGTTTGTAACCTAAATTCTAAAATCTCTTTTATGCCTTTGGAGAGAAGTTCAATTTTGTGTTTTTCCAAAGTAGTTTGAATAATCATTTTGTTTCGACATGCAATTACTTACATAAGCATTGTTTTATAATAATCCTAAACAAATATAGTTTTTCATTAAAAGAACCATTTATACTATGGCTAGTATTACTTTTCTCATATAGATTGTTGCAGTACATCTTTTTAAGTGTTACACTTACTAGTGTTTTTAGACAAAAAGTTATGAAGTACAATTGTGCAGCATTATGTTTAAAAAAATATAATAAGCTTATACGAGCTTCTTAGTAAAAAGTATGAATTTTGGTCTTCATAAAAAAGACAAAAAAGCTCTTTATTTGAATAATTATTCTTCATTTTTACCAAACATGTAAAAAACAAGTTTTAAATAAAAAGCTTCTTACACTTTTAAAAATGTATTGCGCAATATAGAAACCAATCCAACCTTAGTAATAGGTCTACCAAGAAAGATCAACAACTGAAAGCTCTACTTGAAAAGTCATCTCATACACAACTTTATTCTCGTTTGATACTGCCCGTATAACGGTGCTTTCATCTTCTCTGTTTTAATGGTGTTTGGAGGAAAATCAGCTACAATATTTAGATCCAAAACCCCTTCGGTTTATTCTTACATTTGGACCTTGTACTACGTTCTTTGCGGGTTCATTTTCAATCTGTCCTCATGATTCATAACTGAGTTCACCAACAATTGTCACAGGAAATATTTTTGATGTCAAAATGACTATAGATGGAGAGCCAATCAAAGTAAGCAGGTATTACAGTTTTTTCCTCGCTGTTGTATGCTCCACTCCGGTCTGAAAAAGTCAAAAGGGTTTGTAGTTCCAAAAGTCATACTACCTCTCTCCCACTAACATTGTGACATGAGGAGGTGGTGCGATTATTAAGAAAAGTGGGTTTACGTGGTTTATATTGAATTGATAAAGTAAGAATGATTTAAAATCACATAAGCTTTACCAAATTTGGTATGGAACAATTTTAGTGGAACAGACCGCAAATGAAAGATGAGAGGATCTTAGTGAGACGGAGGGAGTATTTCATAAAATGGAGCTATTGGGTCGTGTAATTTTAAAAGCAAACTTACAAACAAGTGCAAAAGTAAAAAGTTGGAGGAAGCGGTCCAGCTCAGCTGGTCGCCGACTCACTCTCCCTTATGGGAGGTTCCAGGTTCAATACTCAATGGAGTGAGTTTGATCCCAGTTTCTCCCAGCCCCCAAGCCCCCTCCCCCGACCCCCCGGGGGGTAAAAAAACAAAGCAAAAGTAAAAAAGTTGTTAGTTGAATCTTGACCAAATATTTCAATCTTATAGGTTTCCCGGGTACCTTTCTTATGCTGATCCGGCTAATTTTCAAGACGAGAGTGGTAGCTGCTCATCAAATTCCATTGTCGGAACTCCAACATGCAGTGCTAATGGGAACCACCAGACTTCTTTGAAGAATGAAAACTCTAATATCTGATTTCCTTTACCTTTTGCTTCAAATGCACTCTGGTGTAGTCTTTCATCACCCTATAAATGGGAAGGCACTTCCATTAGTTCATACTCCAGCTTGTACTCGAATCGCTTCAAAAAGGTTGAAGCTGCCAACTATCCAATTTAACCTTTAAGAATTAATCTGCGTACGGACAGGGAGAATCATCATCATATCACGACGTATCTGAACATGGAAACTGGTGTGTCTGAGAAGACAATACCTATTAGCATGACAATAGTGGAATTGTACTTTCTCTATTGTGATAGGATTAGCACAATTGTGCTCTATTTTAAGATTGTGTATACCTAAGTTCTGGTTCCAAGTACAGAAGTGAACTCGTAAATATTTATTTTATCGTGTTTGAACCTCTTTTGAATCGCAAATTATACTATGGGATAAGCACATCTTCCACCGGCCCCAAATGACCCCCTTCCGTAAAAAGGGGTCTGCTCTTCTTCCTCCCATATTCTATTTTCTTGGCTGATCTTCTACATTCTCCTCTTCAATTTTATTCTCCTCTTTCAAACCTCTTCTTCAAAATCCCAAGAATCTATCCCTTTTTTCCTCTATTAAAACATAAAATCAATCTAGGTATTCTACTTCATGGTTAAGTTACAACTTTTATTAATAAAAAACATCTTATATGTGCTTAAGAATTCTCCAATTCACTTTATAGCATTGTCTTGTGTCTTCAATTCAGTGATTTGAAATTTTGAATTTAAAGTTTAAGTTCATCATATTTTACGTAGTACTATTTACACAAAATTATATTACGTTTATACATTTTCCACAGGTAATTAATTTGTGCCTGAAAAATTTGCAACTCTTGCTTAGGCATTGTGTTATGTTTTTTCAATTTTAGTAATTTACCCTTTAAATCCAACAAAATTTGTCTTTTCCTATTGTTTATACATAAGCATTACATTGACACATTCGTCATGCCGGTTTGGCTGTTTACATTATTTGTAACTGCAAGCAGACCAAATTTATAACAGTTTTATCACCAAATAATGTTAATGTTGCATTATTATACATTAATCTCGTACACTTACAATTCTTAATAATAATAAAAAAAATATACACACAAGTAAATTTTTTTTACAATTCTTAATATTATTATTACATCAAGCATAACTGCATAAATCATTTACACTAATATACACACAATGGTATAGTTAGACGTTTTTCAAGCATATTTATACTAAGCATAAATATCATTTACATCGATATTAGCCATTCAATCAAAAGGGGATTTAATCTTGGGGCAGATGGGGGAGTTTTTTCCCGGAATAATGCTAATTAAATAAATAAATCCTAAAATATTGTTGGGTTAAAAATAATTCCCAAAATACTGCTGGAGTTAATGTTAATGTTGCATTATTATACATTAATCTCGTACACTTACAATTCTTAATAATATCATTACATCAAGCATAAGTCATTTACACTAATATACACACAATGGTATAGTTAGACGTTTTTCAAGCATATTTATACTAAGCATAAATATCATTTACATCGATATTAGCCATTCAATCAAAAGGGGATTTAATCTTGGGGCGGATGGGAGAGTTTTTTCCCGGAATAATGCTAATTAAATAAATAAATCCCAAAATATTGTTGGGTTAAAAATAATTCCCAAAATACTGCTGGAGTTAATGTTAATGTTAATGTTAATGTTGCATTATTATACATTAATCTCGTACACTTACAATTCTTAATAATATCATTACATCAAGCATAAATCATTTACACTAATATACACACAATGGTATAGTTAGACGTTTTTCAAGCATATTTATACTAAGCATAAATATCATTTACATCGATATTAGCCATTCAATCAAAAGGGGATTTAATCTTGGGGCGGATGGGGGAGTTTTTTTCCCGGAAAAATGCTAATTAAATAGGTACATGAACTAACTTAAAGTGTTCAATTAGACCCTTATATAGAAGGTTCTGCCCGGTCGTCGCCAATTGGGGCGGTTCTCGGTGGAAATTTTTGATGAAATTTTTTAAGCATCTTCTTCATTAAGTCTAGTTTACCCATACTAAATTTCAGCTAAACATTCAACCGGGAAGGCAGTCAAATGATTTTTTGAAGATAACTGTGCAGTTAAACAACGCAGTAGATTTTGGAAAATCATTTGACTGCCTTCCCGATTTAATTTTTAGCTGAAATTTGGTATGGGTAAACTAGACTTAATGAAGAACATGCTCAAAACATTTCATCAAAAAATTCCACCGGGAACCGCCCCAATATGCGATGGCCGGGCAGAACCTCCTATATAAGGAGCTAATTGAACACTTTAAGTTAATTCATGTACCTATTTGACCCTTTAGCCTAAATAATTCCCAAAATATTGCTGGGTTAAAAATATTTCCCAAATAATTGCTGGAGTTAACCACGGTTAACTAAAGCCGCTACTCGAAGTGGCGGCTCTTCATCTCGTTGTACAAAAGCCGTCACTTCAAGTGGTGGCTCTCCTCTTGTAGCACAAAAGCCGTCAGTTGAAATGGCGGCTCATTAATTCACAAAATAATCCCTCTTTCTTCCCAGCCGACGAACGATGAAGAAAGCATTTTCCCTTTTCCCTCTGCAGCAGAACGGCGAACGACACAAACGGCGGCACCTATTCAAATTCCGGTCGGAACTCGTCCAAACGAAGCTCAAATCAAAGGGAAAGAGACACGGTGTACCCGAGGTCGTTTGTGCTCCATTCTACCTCCTTTCAAACGTTTGAATCGAGGTATTTCACCATTTTTGCTAAACCTGAGTTTTTTTAATTTGTTGTTCGAAATTACTGTTTTTTTTAATTATTCTCTTTGTATTTGATGTTATGAAATATATAAGTTCTTAATGTTGTTATTATGATTGAATTTATATAATTTTAGAATTTGATTTTGTTTTGTGTTGGTTGGATTGAGTTTGATATATTTGTCATTTGAAAAAGAGTAATGTAGCACATTATTAATATGTATCTATCTGATTTTTTAATTGAATGAAATCATAAAAATGATACATATGCTTTAATACAATTCGTTTGAATTAGTAGTTGAATTTTCAACGTTCGGCATAAATCATAGTTTTTTTGGATTGTTTTTTGGTAGAATATATCTCCAAACTTCCCCATTATTTGTCATTTGGGGAGGAAATATTATCGAGGAGTCAAACAGAATTCATTATTAAGGGGGAAGTCGGAAGATAATTATTGTTTTCTGTGGGGTGGATGTGGTTGAGATAATGAATAAAATTTATACCGCCACATCCATCAATCGTATGAACAAGTTGGATTTGAAAGTTAAATATCTCATTCATGGTGGATCATACATGTTGATGCCTCTTACTGACGACGAAGCCGTTACGGGAATGTGGACCTTAATCACGAATCTTGCTATGCATACCATGGAGATATATGTTGAAGAAGCGACTGTGTTGCCCACATAACCTAACAACCCGTCATTATCCTGCCCATCCACAAGTGTTCCAGTTGTGATGAATATAGTTGTACAGGAGAATGGAAGATACGTGAATAGTGATGCAACGTTTCTGGATTCACAATGCATCGACGACGATGCAGATCAAAATGTGAATCATGACACACTAACAGATTCCGATGAAGATGGTGGTGATCTCGTAAGTGGCAATGCTCCATCCAGCCACTACACTAAAGTTTATGAGCTTCCTGCGAGATTTGATGAATCATGGAGGGGTTGTACAACTTCTAGTCGCTTCTCTGCAGATGGTGAATTCAAGTTTGGGCAAGAGTTTGATTATAAGAAACAACTAATTAACATGATTAGAGTGTACTCAGTAAAGAGGAACCAATTTTTCTCAGTTTTAGAGTCTGACAAACACAAATTTGTGGCAGAGTGTAAGCGGAAAAAAGAATGTGGCTGCACTTGGCGGATCCGGGCTACTAAGAAACATGCGAGGCGAGATATGTTCAAAGTTGTTCGTTATGCAGGTCCTCATATACCTACTTGTCTAGGTAACGTCGATAACAATGACCATGCTGGTATCACATCTCAGTTCATAGCCCGTGAAATTACTGATCTTCTTCGTACTGATCCATCACTAAAAGTCCGCACTATTAGTGAGCTTATGAAGGAAAAGTACGGGTATGTACCTTCGTACAAGCGAAGTTGCTTGGCTAAGCAAAAAGCTATCAGTGAAATATTTGGAGATTGGGAGGCGTCGTATTCTGATTTGCCCCATTTCATGTTGGCATTACAGCATTCCAATCCAGGGACGGTCGTGCATTGGTACTCTTTCAGGTACCAATGATTTATTAGTATCTTTTATTATATCATATTACATTCCATTTTAAATTCGTCCCCCTAATTTTCTCCTTCTTTCAGGTACCGCTGATTGTGTGCAGTTTCAAAGAGTTTTTGGGCGTTTAAGCCATCCATTAAAGGCTTTAAGCATTATCGTCCCCTACTGACCATTGATGGAACACACTTATATGGGAAGTATAAAGGTGCATTGTTGGTGGCAATGGGCAATGATGCTAATAATCAACTGTTCCCTTTGGCGTTTGTTATTTGTGAATTAGAGAATGGATAGAGTTGGTTGTGGTTTATGGGGTGCATACGTCATTTTATCACATGCAGAGAATTGTGTTTTATTTCTGATTGACATGCTGGAATTGTGAAGGCATTTAATGAGGTAGGTAGTGGATGGAAGGAGCCAGATTCATGACACATGCTTTGCATACGGCATGTCGCTTCTAATCTGCATACTGAATCTAAAGACACTCACTTGAAGAATCTGTTCGTTTGGACAACAAGTCAACGTCAAAAGAAGAATTTTGATGGTGGATTTAACAGGATAGGCGAAATGCAGGCACAAGCATGAGAATATCTAGCAAACATTGGTTTGGAGAAGTGGTCTTTACACCACGAAGGGGGGTACAAGCATGGCACCACAACAACGAACATGGCTGAAGTTTTCAATAACGTCATGAAAAGTGCATGATACCTGCCTATAACCGCCTTAGTTGAATTATCATTCTATCGTGTAAATGCCTATTTTGTGGAAAGAAGAGAAACTAGTAAGAGAAGGTTAGCAGAAAGGCGCCGCTATTGCCAGCAAGTGACTTAACTGATTGAGAAAAATACGGAAAAGGGAAAACATCACAAGGTCACAACATTTGACATAGGTTGTGGTTTATACGAAGTGGATCGGAGACGGGTCGTGGTGGTCGAACTGTGGGGAAGGGTGGTACAAAACAAATGGTGAATTTGCACCGTTGCCATTGCACATGTCAAAAGCTGAATGTTTACAAGATTCCTTGCTCACATATCTTAGCGGCATGTAGAGAACGTAGTTTGTCCTATGATGCTTTTGTGTATATATTTTTCTCATCATCGGAGTATGCGGCTTCTTATAAAAGAGTATTTAAGCCCATACCACATATAGATTATCGACATACTTACATTGGACCACGAGTAGTGCATGACCCGTCAATGATTCGCGCTAAAGGTCGTCCGAAGGCTACATGATTGAGAAATGAAATGGATGAAGGTCCTAGAGGTACTGTGAGATGCGGTTTAGGCAAGCAAACAAGGCATAACAAGATGACATGTGCTAGAAGATCCCAGGGACATGTAGGGAGTTCCACTGGGTAATGTTGTTCTTTCATTCACAAATGCATTAGCAATATTAAAAATTAAAGTAATTTAATTTTACTAATAAAATAAAATAACTAATACATATATTACTATTACAGCGTCGATGCAGGTGTCAGCGGATCTCGGACCGATTGATCCTTCAGTCATGACATTGCAGGCCACGCACTGGAGCGAGGATGTGTGGCGTGGCCTGGATGTTCAGGTAGATAGGTGTCGTGAGCACCTACGCGGTATATTCCACTTGCAGGTGGATGCTAGGATTTTACATTACGTTCAATTAGCTGGGTTTTACGGTGTTCACAGGCTAGTCTCGAGTCTGCATTTAGATAGAGCATTACTTACTGCTCTACTTGAGCGTTGAAGACAGGTGACTCACACTTTCCACTTACCCGTGGGTGAGGTGACGATCACATTGGGAGATGTGGCTGTATTGGCAGGTCTATCGATCCAGGGTCGGGCTTTTACTGGGACTGCATGTAGACTATGGGTTGATGTGGTACACAGATTGCTGGGAGTACGGCCAAAGCCTGGGACAGATATTCGAGGGTCCGCCTTGAGGATGCCTTGGTTGAGAGAGCATTTTACTGTTTTACCTGCTAATGCTGATGACGTTGTTGTCGAGCAGTACGCGAGAGCCTACATATTGATGCTTATGGGAGCCTCTACATTTGCGGACAAGAGCGGCAATGAGGTACATGTTCTTTACTTATCCCTTTTGGATACTTTTGATGTAGCAACGCTTTATAGTTGGGGTAGTGCGACTTTAGCATACCTATATCAGCAGTTGTGTCGAGGTTGCCATTGTCAGGGTGGCGAGATGGGTGGTTTTTTATTGCTCATACAGCTATGATCGTGAGAGCATATTCATATTGGTAGACCTGTCATAATGTGATATCATGAGATAGATGGTGGTCCTCTTGATGATGGGGTTTGCACGATCGATCTGTACTTGGACCACATCATATCCGTGGCGAGGACCCTTTGTGTCGTAGGTACGTTTCTGAAATTTGTTTAATTTTTATTTTATTTTATGTATGCCGTATTGGAATCCGTTTTATATTCTTGTACATTAATGTGTGTCAGATGGCTTTTTGCTGACAGCACTTGCACGTCATCCGCGGCTGGATTAGGGTATTATCGAGATGCATTAGATGGCATGTGTGATGATCAAGTATAAACTTGTATATCATTAAGTATAACATATGTTGTTTTACGTTTTTATAAACAATGATGTCATAATTTTTTGTATTATAGATGACGTGGATACCATACACTTATAAGATTCTAGACAGCTGCCTCCTGTTGCCCGAGAGCACATTGAGACATGGCGAGCACGTGTGCCCTTGATTTGATTTGATGTAGTGGAGCATCACTTTCCTAATCGCGTACTACGACAGTTCGGGTTGCAGCAAGTTGTTCCCACACCTTGTGATACTTCTCTGGACTTACACAAGATCGACAGGTGAGGGTAGCACACTGAAGATTGGGGGATGCACCATATTCCTTATATCACCATGTGGGATGAGAGAGCAGTGTATATAGTGGACGGGATCCCATCAGTAGTCCCCACAGTCTTTGCAGATTACATGAGATGGTATCACAACATTACACGAGTGTTCATCTCTCCCAGTTTTCGTCTACACACTGATCATTACCAGCCTAGCTCAGTCGCTCTTCATATCACGGTACACAATATATTAACATAAATCACTTTATTTGTTTATTTATTCATGTGTTTATCACTAATAACCATGTTTTCATTACAGACACGACTTTTGCATACTATCCGTGATAGGGCGACTGTTGTACTTGATGAGGGGCAAGATGTACAAAGATATCATGAGGTATACTCGGACATTGATGCACTATGTGATGATGTATTTGGCCAAGTAGACCATGGATAATGTGGCCGCCTCTCAGTATTCCACGACATCTACATCCGCAGCAGAGTCTTCCCAGGCGCGATGACGTGATAGAGTGGTTCTTCAGCCTCGTAACCAGCGCAGACGCCCCCGGCGTCAGGCACAAGAACAACCATATGAGCTTTATGATGATGATCACGTTGAGTTGTGATATTTGTACTTTACATTATTGTGTTAAACATGAACTAGCTGATCAATTTATGAAACATTGGATTTATTATCAACTTTATGTGATATTTCTAGTATCGTGATCAAATGTAGTCCCATTGATTCGTTGTGTCTCGACTTTGTTTTAATTCTTAACAACCTATATTCACTCTGAAGAGAAACTTTTTATGTTTTTGAGTTTACTGTACTGTAACGAGCAGGTTTTTGTGTTTGTTTCCGGTTGAATAAGTTGTGAACAGGTTTTTGTGTTTTTTTCACGTTGAATAGATTGCGGATGTAATTATTGAACACAAGAGCCGCCACTTGAAGTGGCGGCTTTTGTACAGCGAGATGAAGAGCCACCACTTCAAGTGGCGGCTTTTGTTAACCATGGTTAACCTTAGCAGTATTTGAAAATTATTTTTAACCTAGCAGTATTTTGGGAATTATTTATTTAATTAGCATTATTCTGAGGAAAAACTTCGGATGGGGTATTAATTATGTGAATGCTCAATTTATCATCTCATTATTATCACCTTAATCAGTTCAATTATTTCAGTTCCAGCCTCCTCAAGTCTTTCAAACAAACATGACTACATAATAAATTGTAGCTCTGTTTTAGCTGAAGTGACGTGTCGTACACAATCTAAGTGTTTGATGGCATAAAAACTAATGTCATTCAAATATAGATAGTATTTAATAAAAGTGATAAGCGTTGTAAAGTTCATACAAAAATAAAAGCTTAATTGCAAAGACTTGTGCTAGATGTCATTCGAGTTGTAATAATATTGGGAAAGTTCCCGAAACAGGACTAAAACAATTTTAAAATTTCAAAATAGGATTGTCATGTTTTTTATTCCCAAAATAGGACTAATGACTGCCATGTTTAGAAAATACTGTCATGTTTGAAGTCTGCTACTGCCAAAACGTGGCTGTATTTTCTAAACATGGCTGTAATTAGTTCTATTTTGGGAATAAAAAACATTACAGTCCTATTTTGGAATTTTGAAATTGTTTAAGTCCTATTTCAAGAACTTTCCCAATATTATTAATAATATTTCAATTGAATGATGATAAGAACTTTCAAAGCTATAACTATCCAAGGGTTTTCTTACTTGAATGAAAAAAACGATAATGGGCTGCACATAAATAGCCGCACAACCTGGTTGATTCAATCCTATTCGACTATCTTTTGTCGGTTCATGGGCCAGATTGATCACTATAACCCACACAGATAATGAGTAGGGTAGTGGAAGTAGAGGCCTCAGAACGATGTTACATCATCTGACCGATATAAAAGTATCATGATCTGACCGATGTAAAAGCACCTTTGGTACTCTGGGATGAAAATCCCTTTGAATTTACACACTTGAAAGATGGAAATATTTTCCTTCTTTAGTTTCATAATACTTTGCTACAATGTTTTGTTAAATTGTTTCTTGTTTAAGACCGATATGCTCTACTTAACAAACTAGAGTTATAAATATTTATCACTTGTCAAATTGATTTATTACGTACATTTGCTTCTAAAGAAAAATCCTTTACAAGAGGATGATTTGATGTAGTTACGCAACGTTTAGACTTCTTAGAAGTTTAATTTTTTGTGTATTTTATATGCAATTGTGGATTTGAAATTGTCATACGGAGTATTAAAAACTTAGTCCAAAGATGCAGCCCCAATGTGAGGTCCCTACCCGATACACTTATCCATATAAATTGCATACATGCGGATTTTTAACAGTTAACTAAGTGAAGCTAGTAGACTAAAAAGGTAAACTTGCGTGATGTAGGACCCTATTGCATTGAACACGTTGCTACATCATTTTAAGCTCAGCGCTTGGATAGACTGCCAATTACCAAAATCCTATTAAGGTGTTAACTTTCTCTTATTTTGATTTGCTTTTGTGAATTGTTAATCAATTGAGATGATTTACGTATAATTTTTATATTGAGGATTAGGAAAAATGACAAAAAATATTCCTAGCTTTACATTTGATAAAAATAGGACTTTTTAATTTGAACAAAAAATATATCAATTATATGTGATTAGGCAGAAATAGTCATCATATAAATACAAGAGAAAAGGGAAAAATAAGTCCCCAAACTATTGGCAATTCTGCAATCCGATCACCGAAACAGAAGATCATATAAATACACCCCTCGACCCATTGAAATAAAGCAATTATTTAGCCATTTTACCTACTTGTGTCGGTTTCTTCTCATGAGAAACTAACCGTCCTACTGGAACCAGTAGGTAAACAAGATTCAATAAATTTACACGGGTCGGGGGCATAGGGTGGTTGCGCGGTTCAGCGGGAGCGAGGGATCGCCAGTCGAGGTAGCGGGTCACTGGCCGGGGCTAATAGGTCAGTGACTAGAGCATCAGGTCATTGGTTCACCCAGCAACCGGCTGCAATTGGTGGACACTATGCAGTGACTAAGGCACTGATAAGTCCGTATTTCAACACGCATTTGATGCATGTTGAGATCGGCTTTTGATGGTTTTCCTAGCTAAAATGTGTCACAAGTCTCCTAATTAGCTCAAGTCATATTGTACCGGGTTTTGATTTGCATTTGGTGTTTTTAGAGTTAAAATCAGAATTAAAATCAGAATTAAGATCGGCTTTTGATGGTTTCTTCTCATTTGCATTTGTTGTGACACATTTTTCCTAGCTAAAATGTGTCACAAGCCTACTGGAGGCCGGGCACGCCGTGCCTGCAAGGGAGGCACGCCGCGCGCGGCAATTTTTGCACTCCAGGTGTCCTTTTTCGGCCAGGATTGCTCCTTTTTCTATTTAAAGAGCCTGTAAATCCTTGTTTTTTGTTACGGAGCTTAGAGAGAGGCCTACGATGACATTTTGAGTACTTTTCCGCTTTGTTATTCAAGACCCTGAGATTATTTGTAAGTTCCATCTTTTTAATTAATGACAATTAGTTCTTTTCATCCCAATGTTGTTGTTAATTCAAATATGAATTGTGAGTAGTTTTAATTAGAGATTTGAGATTCATGAAGGGGTTAATCATGATCTAAGGTTAATTTCTTGATGGATTAATTGCATGATCTTTATTTAATTTGTGTTTGAATAATTTAATTCATATCTCTTGTAAACTAGAATGGCTGCTAGGATTATAATTGCACATAGAATAAATTAAGAGAAATCTAATTTATTCTAGGACACTTTCACACACACTTAATCGTTCGCTAAAAGATTAGTAACGGTTAGCTTAGGGAGCCGTACGCTCGCTCGTTTTGGCAATAATTTAGGATCTTGTCGCATGAGAGATCAGTCTGGTTCCCTAAATTATCGTACTCTACGCCGCGAGAGCGGTAAGAACTTAGTATTGACCAGTGTTGCTCAATTAAATAATTTTCATGTGATTAAGCCTGATCAGCCCCGAAATCTGATTACTCTGGAATCAATCTTTATTCCTTTTCGTCATTAATTAGAAAGAACCTTTTAATTTAGTTGCTTATTCGCATTAGTTAATTTCCCAAAAATTCGAATCTCGCACATCTCATTTATTTTTTTTATTTTTTTTAATCGCTGAATTTATTTAATTCTTGATTCCCTTTTTCCGTCCCCGTGGAGATGATACTCGTATTTTAGCCCTATACTGCTACATATTTTTAAGTGCGAGAAAACTCACATCAGGCATTGAGTTAGGTCATTGGTGTGATGAGGTCACTCTATCGGTAGGTCACTAAACACCGGGTCACTAGGGCACAAGGTCACTCATTGGGTGTCAGATTGTCACGTGTAGTGGCCACTATGGCGGTCACCGATGGTGGGCCATCACGTGGTAGGTCTTCAAAAATCGGTCATACTGCGCATTGGGGTAATTGGGGCAGTAGTGTAAGTGTCACACGGTAGCAGCCTAAAGAGTCACTTGGGCGGCAGGTGACTTCATTGAGGGCGAGAGTCACTATAGCATTTAGTCATTGGGGTGTTGCGGTTAGTCACCATGAGATCATGTCACAAGGTACTTTAATAAAATATACGATAGTACTTGGGAGTTTCCATATTACGACATCTTTAGCCACATTTGTGAAAACTAAAAAAAGTCTCCTTTTATAGTCCATATATAATCGATTTTTAGTAAGAAAGAATGACTAAAACAAGACTTCCGGCTTATGGAAAGACAAAACTAGGAGTAAACTGCGTTTGGACAAAAAACTAACTGAAAATGGCTTAAATTGACTTTAATGTCCCTATACCCTAACAGCCTAACCTTACCTTCCGATTTCTACTTCAGTGCGCTCAACTCTTTTTCTCCCGACACATCAAGCAAACAGAGGCATCGCGACCTCCTCCGCCGACAGAGCCGCATATCGCTACACTGGCCGTCGCCATCTCCCATGTCTCACGCCGGTAAGAGAGTAGAAGCAGATCTTCATCGCCGTCATCACCCTGGCTTCTCGGCATTGCCCTGCCCAACTTCTTTTTCTTCTCTTTCTGTCAGGCGTCGCCCAGGGTGAAGGCTATTCTAGATCTGCGACGATCCTGCGGCGGCTGGGCGTGGTGGGGCAGCGGTGGTGTGAGGATTTGGGTGACAGGGGATGGGGAGTTGAGACTGGTGCCAGGAGATGGGGCGGGGAGCTGCGGTCTGGGGAGAGGGCTGAGTGCTGGGGGCTGAGGAGGGGGGTGGGTGAGGCATGGGATGGGGTGACGCAGGGGTGGGGGATTGGGTGAGGCGGGGGATGGGGTGTGGGGCCGGAGGTGGTTGTCGTAGGCGGTGGCTGGAGGTGGTTGTCGTCGGCGGTGTTGGTCAACGGTAATCATTATTCGATTCGGATAACGGTAAATGATCAAATCGGTATTTGTAATTGGTTGGGCGGGTAAATGTAACTGAACAAGTCAGATAATTGTCACTGGACGGGTCAAGTAACTCTAACTGGACGAGTCGGGTAACTGTAACTGGACGGATTAGGTAACTGTAACTGAACGGGTCGAGCAATTGTCACTATACGGCGGACGTTGGTCATTGGGCGGACAAATGTTGATGACTAGGTGAATTTTTTGTCACTAATGACATTTGGTCACTGTGATGCGGGTCATTGGTGGGATGTATTAATGTTTGGTCACTAGATGAATTTTGTAACTATGCCATTGGTAACTGTAACAGGTCACTGCACATTTGGTCACTGTGACGGGTCACTGTAGCAAGCCAGTGGATTTGGGCTGAGTAAGAGTGTAACAGTCCCTTAAGTATTATTCAGTCTTATTTTTGGAACTTAAAAGAAAAGTTCCCATATGGAGCAGGAGGCAATGCAGTCGGATCTAAACAGTATAAAGATTCTTTTACAGAAGGAAATAGCAGGGATCTCTCATAAGCAACATATTGATACCATTAAGGATGACTTTCAGTTAAAACGTTTACAACAAGAGGCAGATTCCGATTACCTTTTGTCTTCTAAGGAATACTGCTCTGATAGTGAAAACAATAAGACCATCTCCAGGGATGTTTGGGAGGTAGGGTGGCTTGATATTGCAGCTAAAGTGGAGGATATGGCCAACAAGATTAGAAGGGAAGAGTCTGAGATGCATGGTGAAGGTATTGTTGATCTCACCAATGTTGATTCCCTACAGCCTGACAGTGATGAAGAAGAGTTTACTATGGTTACTCACAGAAGACATACAAAAAGGAAAGATGCTCAAGTCACCCCTAGGGTTACCAGAAATGCAGCTAAGAAGAAAGATGGAATGGTTTTGCCAGTTACTGGATCTCATCACAGTAAAATGGCTTCACAAGATTCCCCAACATCCATTAAATGAATTGTTTGACATGGAATGTCAGAGGGATGGATTCTGCCAAAGCTAGGTTGATCTCTTTGACTAAGCAATGGCAGGTCCACATTTTAGCTATTATTGAACCTATTATTGATTTTACTAAGGGCAGACTCTTATAAATTTGTCTTTGGTCTTCCTAATGTTTTAGCTTCTAACCAGAATAAAATTTGGGTTTTTTGGGACCCTAAAGAGGTGGATATTTCTGAAGTTACTTTTTACTCCCAGTTCACTCATATGAAGGTTAAGAGAGGTAATCTAGAAGGATGGTTTACTGTGATCTATGGTAAGCACACTTATCTTACAAGAAGAGAATTGTGGGACTCTCTGATAAACATTTCCAACAATATGAATGACCCTTGGATTTTAGGAGGTGACTTTAATGCTATTTTAGCACATGGGGAACATCAGGGAGGTTCTATGCCTAACTTAACTAGTATGATGAAGTTTTCTAGTTGTGTGGCTGCTTGTGATCTTCTTGAACCTAACTTTTCTGGGCCTGCTTTCACATGGTCAGGGGTTAGGGCTAGGGGCTTGGTCAGTAGGAGACTGGATAGATATCTTATTAATGCAAAATGGAATGACCTTTTCAAAAAGATTCAGATTGATGTGTTAGACAAAACCCCTTCTGATCATAACCCTCTGCTTATTAGATGCTCTTTTGATGAACACACTGGGCCCAGGTCATTCAAATTTCAGAATATGTGGGTCCAACACCCTACTTTTATGTCTACTGTCAAAGATAGCTGGGAAAAAAGTCAGAGTGGAGGAGACATGAGAGGACTGGTCTTCAAGCTTAAATGTTTGAAAAATGATTTGAAAAAGTGGAATGCAGAGACTTTTGGTAATATCTTTGATGACATAAAAAAGTGTGAGGCTGAGGTTATGCAGGCAGAGAAAAAATTTCAAGACTCCCCTACAGAAGAGAACAGAACTAATTGGCAACACCTTAGAGCTCTTTATATGTCCAAACTCAAGCTTGAGAGTAAATACTGGAAGCAGAAGGCACATATCAAATGGCTCAAACAGGGAGATGCTAATACCAATTACTTTCATAACTTTGTTAAGACAAGACACAGGAGACAGTCCATTACAGCTATTAAGAAGGATGGGGGGGAGGTGGTCTCATCTGTACCTGAAATTGGAGATGCTGCTGTTGATTTCTACTCAAACCTCTACTCAGTTGATCCAGAGATTGAGTCAGAAGAAATTCTGCAATTTATTCCACACTTGGTTACAGAAGAGGATAATCAATTTTTATTAACACTTCCACAAGAGCAGGAGATTAAAGAAGCAGTCTGGAAGCTTAACCAAAATGGGGCCCTAGGGCCTGATGGTTTTAATGGTAAGTTTTACAAAAAATGCTGGCATATTGTTGGGGATGATTTGGTAAAAGCAGTACAGGAATTCTTTATGGGTATTAATATACCTAGGGGGATATCTAGCAGTCTTGTTGTTCTGATTCCTAAAATTAATAAACCGGACTCCTTTGGTGATTTTAGGCCCATTTGTCTTTCCAATTTTTCTGGAAAAGTGTGCTCTAAGGTGTTAGCTGACAGAATGGCGGTGTTATTGCCTAAACTTATATCTCCTGAACAAATTGGCTTTATGAAAAATAAAGATATGGTGGATCATGTTCTGATTGCCCAGGAAATGATCCACTCATTAAACAAAAAGGTTAGAGGTTCTAATGTGATTGTGAAATTGGATATGGCCAAGGCTTTTGATAGGCTTTCTTGGAGGTTTATTACAGATATTATGGCTAGATTTGGATTTTCTCAGAATGTTATTCAGGTTATTGTAAACAATCTGAAGTCTACTTTTCTTTATATTCTCATTAATGGAGCTCCACATGGTTTTTTCAAACCTAAAAGAGGTGTTAAGCAAGGTGACCCACTTTCCCCCTTTCTCTTTATTCTGGCTTCTGAAGCCTTTTCAAGGGGTTTGAAATGGCATATGGATAATGGGTCTATCAAGCAATATTGGATGGGTTCATATGGTTATCCTTTATCTCATTTGGGATTTGCTGATGATCTTCTTATTTTCCTAAATGGGGAATCTAGATCCTTAATTAATTTCAACAGATTTCTGAAAACTTACCAAAAGGCTTCTGGTCAATCCATTAACCTTCATAAGAGCTCTTTTCTCTGTGGGAGAAAAGCTAGAGCTGGTCTGATCTCCAATATCCTTGGCATGAAGGAATCTGCTTTACCTGTAAAATATCTGGGAGTTCCACTGCACAAAGGGGTTAATAGAGTCAGCTATTGTATGGATTTAGTTCACAAATTTGATGCTAAACTTACTGCATGGAATAATAGTCACTTATCTATGGGAGGGAGGCTGATCTTGATTAAACATGTGTTGAATACTATTCCCCTCCATATCCTGGCTGCTGACAGACTCCCTAAAAAAATTGTTAATATTCTGGAAAAAAAGATGGCAACTTTCTTTTGGGGTTCTTCTGCTGGTAAGATAAAGTATCATTGGCTGAAATGGGCTCATCTGTGTTTTCCTACTGAAGAAGGTGGTCTTGGCATTCGAAGCCTCTCAGACATTGAGAAAAGTTTTACCCTGAAACTATGGTGGAAATGGAAGACTGGGGATTCAATTTGGGCAAAGTTTTTATGTGCTAGATACCCTAGGGGTCAAGACATGTACCCTAAAGTGTATGACTCTCCTATTTGGGGAAGAATTTGTTCTGTCAATGATTTTGCAGCAAATCTTTGTGGTGTGAACAATGATGGAAGTATCTTTTGGGAGCCTACTAACAATGGGAATTTTTCTCTTAAATCTGCATATGAAGAAATAAGGGAAGAACTACCATGTACTTTCACTGCTAAACACCTTTGGAATAATAAGCTCCCTATTCAGATCAGGTTGTTTCAATGGAGATTACTGAATAACACTCTGCCTATTACTGAAAACTTGTCCAGGTTCAGAATGGTTCTACATCCTTCTAGGTGTCCTCTTTGTAGGGCTAATGTGGATACAGTTAATCATGTTTTTTATAATTGTGTTAAGGTGAAACCAATTTGGGATTACTTTATGGGAATTTTGAGAATTCCTCGGTTACATCAGACAGTTACAATAAGACAAGTTCTGATTTCATGGTGGATTAAAGCAGGCTACAAAAATTTGGAGGACATTTTTAAACACTGTCTGCCAGGAATCATTTGCGAAAGGGTGGAATCGGATTCGCAGGAGGCTTTATCTTTTCCGCGAAAGGGAGGAAATGGAAGATGGAGGGGTGAGGTTAGACATTTGTTGGATCTGTCTGAACGTAGAGAGGTTTCCTTTTCCGCTATCCTTCGTGAAGGGAACTGGGTCGCCCACTTCTTGGCATCTACTCCTTCGGATCAGCCCACAATTTTTGCTCAGGCCCAAGACTTACCTTTTCAAGCCCGAAATGCTTATTTTATGGACTTCTTTGGGATTCCTTCGATTCGTGTTGCCCGTTAATTGGTGTGTTTGTATTTTTTTTCCCACTTTGGTCAGGCCTAGCCCCCCAACTTGGATTTGGATTTGTTTGTTTGCAATTTTGCTCTTCTTTGCTATTTTTGGAGAGGTTTTGGCCTAGTCCCCCTCTTCGTGTAATCCCGCACTTTAATAAAACTCGGCAAATGTCCTCCGGCATTTGCCCCACTGATTTTGGTGGTTGACCTTCCGGAGGGAAAAAAAAAAAGACAAGCCCCTTTTAGTAATGCTTATGTCCAAATCCCTTGGGAATATTGGTGTCCAAATATAGAACTTTTGTTTTGAAAATGACTTACATAAGACCTAAGTAATTTTTAACATAATTTAATATTATAAGGGATCAAAATATAAATCTTGATTTACTTAAAGTTAATTATCATATATTTCATATTTTGTACTGGTCCATCATTTGCAATGGAGCCAAAGATGAGCTAAATTATCTGCACTTCTTTATTATGAAGTAACAGTCAGTCTAGAATTTTTTTGCATGATTTTCATCATGGATCATACCAAAAAAGTCTAAAAAAAGGATGACACTCCATCCCAGAGGGCCCCTCGGATGGAAATTGAGCTTTGATCTCACTATGATGGAAAGAAAGTGAGTTTCCATCTCAAGTCAGTTGAACCCAGGACCTCTCTCTTGTGACACCCCCTTCCTACCAGGTGAGCTACGCCTCGGTGCCGAAAACAATCTCAATGTGCTATAATACATGAGTAAGACCGCGTGTACATCTGACCTCCCTTACCCAACCGTTGGTGAAAGCCTTTAATTTGCAGCGTTGGGGTAATGTTGTTGTATCATATACTACATATAATATTGTTAAATCTTAATTTTCAATTCTAGGAACATAGAGCAATAGAAAACTAACGGAGAATACTCTCAAAAAAAAACTAACGGAGAAATTAACAACATTACCTTGCAATTCTTTTTTTTTTTGTGAATGAGAAAGAGTAAAGATTAATCATGTAAATTTAGTCATGCTTTTATCTATTTAATAAAATTTGATGGTGGTCTGCCATTGTAATCTACATTTTTAGGGTTCAAAGTACTGCTGCTAATTGCTCTAATTAAAAAAAAAATAGATTGTGGGTTATAAAAATAAATACCCTGGACTAAAGTCGGGCAATGTTTACATCATGACATGACCAGGTTATCCTAAAAGGAAACAAATGATCCATAAAATAGGGGGCTTCAATTTAGGCCTAATTCGGGATTGAAGTTGAAAAAAACTCCTTGTTATAAAACGGAAGCAAATAAGCAGAAGATCAGGGAGAGAAAATATAGTATGAACACTTGATGATAGAGGTGTATTAGAGATGTTCTAATGGTGTCTTTACAATGAAGGAGAATACTCCTATTTATAGGAGAAAATATAATCTTGTCTAGATTAGGGGCTAATTGTGAGCCATACAATTACCATCTAGAAATCATAATTATGATTTCTTATTTATATTAACAATGATGATAATGTGTTCCTAATCATGAATAGTTAGAAGATGACTAATTTAACTTTATTTCAACACTCCCCCTTGAATGGTCATCTTCTAATTATTCTGAGGTATTAGTATCATAGTATTATAATGTACTGTCTTGTTAAAAACCTTTGTCAGGAAAAATCCAGTGGGATAAAAACCCGACGAAGGGAAAAAGAGTGCAGTGCATTATATTACTCCCCCTCAATTTAACATATATCATGAAGACGACAC